AAGGGGGGAGCCAGGGGGAAGGGGGGAGCCAGGGGGAGGGGGGAGCCAGGGGGAGGGGGGGGGGGAGCCAGGGGGAGGGGGGGGGAGCCAGGGGAGGGCGGGGGAGCCAGGGAGAGGGGGGGAGAGCCAGGGGGGAGGGGGGGAAGGTGACCAAAGGCGCGGTCGAAGAGAAAGGTTTTCAGCAGGGACCTGAAAGTTGAAAGAGAAGGGGCGAGACGAAGGGAGTGAGGAAGGGAGTTCCGGAGCCTCGGGGCATAGCGGCTGAAGGCACGGCCGCCGAGGGTGGAGCGGTAACAAGGAGGAGGCCAGACGCGGAGGAACAAAGGCAACGGGTACCGTTGTGAGGAAAGAGGTCAGAGAGGTCGGGGGGTGCAGAGGAGTGCAGGGATTTGAAGACACGGATGAGGATCTTGAAGCCGATCCTCCCTGGGACAGGCAGCCAGTGCAGTCTGGCCAGGACTGGGGGGATCGGGGAGCGGAGTTTGGTGCGGGTCAGAATGCAGGCGGCAGAGTTTTGAATGATCTGGATTTTATGGATGGTAGTGGAGGGGAGACCGGCGAGGAGGGCGTTAGAATAGCCGAGAGGTGACAAAGGCATGGACTAGGGTTTCAGCGGCTTTCGGAGAGAGGTATTGGCGGAGACGGGCGATGCATCGGAGGTGGAAGAAAGTGAATTCTATATACTATTCAATAAGGGAAGAGAGTTTTCTCCAGTGTTCTGACCAATAATCCCCCAAATAAAATTCATTATTTGTTTCATGACTGCTGTGGGACATTGCTGTGTGCAATTATGCTGCCCATTTGCCTACAAATATACAGTCAAATTGGCTGCTGTGTTCGCCTACAAAATACAATCACTCCACTTTACAGCGAATCCTGAGAAAGGCTCTGAGACATTCTCCTGACGTGAAAGACTTTACATGAAATGTAATTAAAATAATAAAATGATTATTACAATGCTGGGTTAAAACTTCCAGATTGGAGGTTGATTATCGCGTTTGCTGTGAAACTATATCTTGCAGTATGACAACCTTGTTAAGCATCTCTCATAGGTTCGCCTGTGAAATACACAGTCACTACAATTTGTAGTATATCCTGTGAAGCGCTTTGAAACAGAAAGGTTCTATCAAAAGCAAGTTGTTTTTATTTAATGGGGAGGGGGGAGTTGGGGGGTCTCATTTTTGGAATTACTGTAAAATGCTTTGTTTTTACAATTTATTCCAGTGCTGTTGTTCAGTGCTGTGTCGGTGCTGTTTACACAAGGTGGCACGAGAACTGCAATTAAACACCTGCTGCTGTTACTGTGGGACTGATGGACACTTTGCTCCTCACTGGAACACGGGAACATTGCTTCGGATGATGAAGGCCTTTCGACTGATTTGATCCAATCCTTCCTTTGGCCCTTTCTTTCTCTTTCAGTATTTTGCTAAAGTTCTTCACCAGTTATGTGACGCCGTCGAGGGCCCGTGTAGTTAAAGAAAGGAATCGTATCTTGGAGGCCGTGCAGCAGACAGATGGAGGGGGACAGGTTTACAGGGATCGTCAACAGCAATTATATAGGGTTAGGATTGCAATGCAGACACTAGGTGGCAGACAGGGCTAGTGCAATGGAGCCAGCGACCAATTTTAATTGGGGATTGATGGCCAGGACACCGGGAGAGAGAAACTTTCTCCTCTTTTCGAGCAGTGACATGGGATCTTTTACTGAACAGGTTTAACGTCTCATCCAAAACACAGCACCTCCAACAAAGCAACATCCCCTCTGCGCTGCTTTGGAGTGTGAGTTTAGACTTGGTGAGCCCATGTCCGCTGCACACAAAATAGACCATAGTTTGCTATAAGTTAGCACTGAGCTCACACCCCTGGTCAGGCTGGTGGTGGTGATTGTGGACAGGTGTTAGTCTGAGAGTGATACTCAGCCCCTCGCTGGTCAGTACAGAGAGAGCCTTACTCCACAGCTGGCCTTTGCTATACCTAACCTTACCACCCTTAATGCTGAAGCAAGAGTGTTTGCACACATGCAAACATACACACAGACAGAAGCGTGCATGCGTTCAGATGGATGTGTTCACGCTTCAACACAGATGCACGTATTCATGCATACACCACAGAACTACAACAACAAATTACATTTTTATAGTGCCTTTCACGTCGGAAGGACGTCCCAATTTGATGGACAGTCAAGAATGTGTACAGAAGCCAGCCCTCACGCATGCATACACATGGTACACACCGCTCAGAAGTAATGGAAATAGTAAATATCGCACAGAATCGATGGTGTTTATGTGTAATTACAGAGATGGAGACAGTGCTTCGGTTAGATTGCTAGAAGGCTTCACAAAGGGCTGTAATGTGTTGTGGGGTTGTCACTGTGTAAGTTACGTCACCGTGTGCGAGGAATATAACCTTCACCTCATCAGTTTGCATATCAAACAGACACAGCACGTTCCAAACACTCTGGGCTTTGCACCCACACTGATAGCACCCGTCGTGTTTACTCAACATGAAGAGTAAGGAACGGGGAGGTCCCTGCGTTAAGTGCAGAGAGATTCTGGAAGGAAACAGCCTCATACTCTTCACCGTCATCTCTGTGCTCTTCGGTAAGGAAATAAGAATAAAATAAACTCTGTGATGTTTCACTAACAATATGACAAATATGGGAATAATATCTGGGGATACAGTGTATAGTTTGGGACTCGTCATATGCAAACGACTGCCAGGATAGTGGATGGTGAACTGGATGGATCTTGGTCTGTTGCCTTGCAAATTCTTACATTATTATCTCTGTACAAAATTATGGAAATTGCACTCGAAAGCACATTTGGCCCCCATCGTGTCTGTGCTGCTGTTCACTTGACTTATTGCCGCTGTCTCCCCTTTATAGTGCTTTTCCCTGCTCTTTTCCACGTAGCCTTTTAGACCTTAATTCTGTCAATGTTTATCCAGTTCCCACTTAAACGGTTGCAGTTGGCTTTGTTTCAATGGCGATTTGTAACATGTTCCACATTTCAAGAAATCTCTGTATCCAAAAATGCTTTTAAAACTTACTTTGTGGTGTGAGCCCCACTGGCTCGATTCTAACCCAGGGGAGAGGGCTTTGCACCCACACTGCCAGCAGCCATTCACAGGATACATGTAAAGTGCATTGAGCGTACATTATTGTCGACAGCCATTTCTCACACGGCAATGCCCTACACACAGCCATGAGGTAAATGACCAATTCTATTCAGAGGAGTGGGAGGGGAGGGGTAGTGAGTAGGGGAATTGTTGGCAAGGACACCAGAGAGAAACTCCCCTCTCTTTTCGAGCAGCAACATGGGATCTTTAATGTCCACCAGTTTAATGTCTCATCTGAAGGACATCATCTCTGACAAAGCAGCAGCCCCCAGCACTGCACTGGAGCTTCAGCCTAGACCAGCGCTTTTCAAACTCTTTTGCTCTGTGCTCTCCCCACCACCCCCCCCCAAACCGACATTAATATCCCACGTACACAACTATCCTGGAACATTCCCTGTCCACGTGCTCCTCAGGAGGTACAGCTCCTCTCCCCCTTGGCCTCTTGTCCCTGGGAGGCTTAGCCATTTATATTCCAATCAGAGGGATCAGGATTTTGTTTTTTCTCTCTCTCTCTCTCTGAGGCTTGGTCTCTCTCGGTTTCTCTCCCATTCCCCCTCCGACTTGGGCAAAATGCCAGTAAGACCAGAAAAAATTCTTACCCAATGACCCTCCCCCATCCCCCCTGGCCTCACCATGCGAGCTCAAGATCCTGACGTTGGGGCTTGAACCCACAAACTTTCTGACATATAGGCAAAAGTGTGACCTACCAACTGAGGGGGAGCTTCAAATCGTCATCCATCTTTGTGTCCTGAGAGTTAGAAGAACAAGTGCTGGTCTTCTGCTGAATAATGCCGTGTGGCTGGTTTCAGGGTTTGTTCTGTTGAGCTAACTCACCCTGTGCGAACATGTTCCTCTTTAGATAGTTGCCATCAGTTACACGGTTTTGCATCCTGGTGCCCCTCAGGGCAGCATTTTCCCATCACTCCTCCCCTCCCTGCTCCCCCTTCCCTTCCCTCCCTCCCCCTTAACCTGCCTCCCCCCTCCCCCTCTCTCCCCTCCCTGCTCCCCCTTCCCCTCCCTCCCTCCCCCTTACCCTGCCTCCCCCCTCCCCCTCTCTCCCCTCCCTGCTCCCCCAAAATGGCGCTTTGATACTCCTCCCGAAGTGAAAAATAGTTCATAAAATGCAAGTATTATTATTAACGATTAGTCTGACAAGGCATCAGTGGAGATAGCTACAGGAGACAGTTTCTCACACAACCTCTCCCTTGTATTTCTTTTTATTTACAAAAACATCTGTCACACACACAAAATAAGAGACGTGCAGCTGGAAGTGTTTCGGCTTCAAACTGGACTTTAAGTATGATAATAGATTGGATCCAAAAATAGGCAGCAAATGAATAAGAATCATAATCTTTGCATTTGATATAGCGCCTATCATGTCTTCGAGACGTCTCAAAGCGCTTCACAGGATATACCCTAAAGTTTAGTGACTGCATTTTGTAGGCGAAACATGGCAACCAATTGCGCACAGCAGTGTCCCACAAACAGCCATGGACTGAATGAACAAATTAGTATTAATTTTTGTTTGAAGGGATTATTAACCCCAGAAAGCAATCTACCAATCAACTAACAACCGGGATTCTACTTACTGCTGGTAAACAGAGGCGTGTGGGTAGAATAAGGAAACTTGCTTTTCAAGGCAAAAGCAGCGGGAAGCTAACCAGGGTCTTCTCGCTCGTGAGGTGAGAGCACTAAACACTATGCTATAGGACTCCACACAGAGTATAACACACACACTGTATGACCATACCGCACTTTAACACGCTTCATTAAACCTCTGTTGCCAAGTGAGTGAGGTGCGATGTCCTTCAATATTTTGTGTTCTCTCTCTTACTTTCTCTCTCTCTTTCTTCCCCAAAGGTATTATCGTAGGTTTTCTGGTTCGAGAGAAGGGAAGTTTGTCGTAACTTAATAAATACTATTTTGCTTTCCCTGGAGAGCTGCTGATGTCTATGTTCAGAATGAGTATTCTTCCTCTGGTCAGCTCAAGTGTCATAGCAGGTAATTGCTTTCTTTCTGGGGGGTTGTGGTGGGGGGGAGAGCGAGGGGCAACTCATTAATAGCTCGTGAACAAACAGAGGTCTGAAATTCAACCTGGTCAGTCGCTGAGTCCATTTTGTCTCAAATTTTGAGATCACACAGAATTGTGGAGACTCTCTTAAATTCTGACTTATTTTGGGAAGTTGTTTTTTCTCCGACTCTTAAGAAAAAAACAACTTGTATAATAAAAATAATGTCTCAGATGGGTCAGTTGAGATCATGTGTCAGCCTGGCTCAGTGACTGTCAGCCTGGCTCAGTGACTGACTGTCAGCCTGGCTCAGTGACTGTCAGCCTGGCTCAGTCACTGACTGCCAGCCTGGCTCAGTCACTGTCAGCCTGGCTCAGTGACTGACTGTCAGCCTGGCTCAGTCACTGTCAGCCTGGCTCAGTGACTGTCAGCCTGGCTCAGTCACTGACTGCCAGCCTGGCTCAGTCACTGTCAGCCTGGCTCAGTGACTGTCAGCCTGGCTCAGTGACTGTCAGCCTGGCTCAGTCACTGACTGCCAGCCTGGCTCAGTCACTGTCAGCCTGGCTCAGTGACTGTCAGCCTGGCTCAGTCACTGACTGCCAGCCTGGCTCAGTCACTGTCAGCCTGGCTCAGTGACTGTCAGCCTGGCTCAGTGACTGACTGTCAGCCTGGCTCAGTGACTGTCAGCCTGGCTCAGTCACTGACTGCCAGCCTGGCTCAGTCACTGTCAGCCTGGCTCAGTGACTGTCAGCCTGGCTCAGTCACTGCCAGCCTGGCTCAGTGACTGTCAGCCTGGCTCAGTGACTGACTGTCAGCCTGGCTCAGTCACTGTCAGCCTGGCTCAGTCACTGACTGCCAGCCTGGCTCAGTCACTGCCAGCCTGGCTCAGTGACTGTCAGCCTGGCTCAGTGACTGACTGTCAGCCTGGCTCAGTCACTGTCAGCCTGGCTCAGTCACTGACTGCCAGCCTGGCTCAGTCACTGACTGTCAGCCTGGCTCAGTGACTGTCAGCCTGGCTCAGTGACTGACTGTCAGCCTGGCTCAGTGACTGTCAGCCTGGCTCAGTCACTGACTGCCAGCCTGGCTCAGTCACTGACTGTCAGCCTGGCTCAGTGACTGTCAGCCTGGCTCAGTGACTGACTGTCAGCCTGGCTCAGTGACTGTCAGCCTGGCTCAGTGACTGTCAGCCTGGCTCAGTGACTGACTGTCAGCCTGGCTCAGTGACTGTCAGCCTGGCTCAGTCACTGACTGCCAGCCTGGCTCAGTCACTGACTGTCAGCCTGGCTCAGTCACTGACTGTCAGCCTGGCTCAGTCAGTAGCCTGCGAGTCCCAAACCCCACATCAGGACTTTGACCTCACAGATCACAGGCTGATGCTCTTATACAACAACAACAAGATTACATTTGTACTATACTTTCACGTCGGGAGGACATCCCAAGGCACTGGACAGTGAACAGCATTTCAGACCCGAGCTGGGGTCAGGGGGGAGAAGGGAGGGGAGGGGAAGGTGGGTAGCCGATAGCATGGTCGAAGAGGAGGGTATTGAGGCGCGACTTGAAGGAGGCTAAGGAGGGGGCGAGGGGGAGTGATTGGGGGATGGAATACAATCCTGACAATGCGATCCTTCTGACGAGACGTTAAACCGAGATCCCATCTGCCTGCTCAGGGACATTACAGATCCCGTGGTACTATTTGAATATAGTGCTCACTGTACCATTTACAAATGCAGTTATTAGCATTTCATTATTATTATTAATCCAGTAATGTAATGGTCACATATACTGTCTTTTCATCTCATTTAAAGGTAGCTGTGACCTTGGTCGACTGATGCGTGAAAGTGTCCTCAGGAAGCGTAGATTATGACTAACGATTAAATTAATATTTAAAAAGCAATTGCAGTGTGGACAAAGCCCCAGTTGTTTCCTCATCTCCCCATATAGCCATTTCTAGCCTTGACTAACGTATCACTGTGGTGAATTAAATCAGAAATATCTGTTGTATTTGAATGCTATTGTGCTTTATAAACCCTAATGTTTTATATACCCTATTGTGTTCAACACCCTATTGATTCTATCTATCTTCATTCAGGTCTTGCTGGAATGGACACCAAAACAACTGCTAAAATTGGTCTGCGATCCATGGCTTACTGCCTGAGCAGCGCAAGTACTGCAATAGCAGTAGGTGCACACAAGCTTCTGATGCAGTTTTACATGATTTGTGTGAGTTCAGTGTGCGGAAGCAATGCTGGTCCAGGTTAGCACTGGGAGAGCACTACATTGTCGAGGTGCTATCCTTTCGGGGAGATTGCGCTTGTTCAGGTTGGACGTTCAAGATTCCACAGAACGGCTCGAAAAGAAAAGAGAGTTTCTCTCTCCCAGTGTCCTGGCTGACAAACCCCATCCAAACCCCCACCAAATCAAATTGGCTGTTCGCTCTGTGGCTGTTTGTGGGACATCGCTGTCCGCAAATTGGTTGCTAAGTGCACGTACAAATACACGGTCACTTTACAGTATAACCCATGAAGCGCTTTGAAATGTCCTCCCAATGTGAAAGGCGCTCGATCAAATACAAGGATTGTTACTTTATCATAAGTGAACTCTGGATTTTTCATAACAATCCATACACAGGAATCTTGCTTGCCCTGCTTATTAAACCAGGGGAGCACCAAGGAATGCAACAACAACAACAACAACAACAAGATTTCATTTATAGAGAGCCTTTCAAGTCAGGAGGACGTCCCAAGGCACTGGACAGTTGGGTCAGGCAAAGCCTTGAGGAGAGAGGAAATGTGGGGAACATCTCTGCAGTGGATACCCTGCTCGACCTTCTGAGGTGGATCGCTTGTTTACTTAGTGATCTCTTCACTGCAGCTTACTATGGGATACCTACTAGCAATTCTTTGTCCCTGATCCACATGCACTGCCTTCTCCCTAAACCCCTGCAGATTAGCTATAAGATCCTGGTCCACTTATCTTCCAATGTCTCTGTAGAATTGTCCCAGCCAATCCCTATGACCTCCTGTGTTCCTGCTCCCTAGCGTAGTCCCTAGTCCACTCGCTACCCCGCTCCCTGGGCCACTCGCTACCCTACTCCCTGGGCCACTCGCTACCCTGATCCCTGGGCCACTCGCTACCCTGCTCCCTGGGCCACTCGCTACCCTACTCCCTGGGCCACTCGCTACCCTGCTCCCTGGGCCACTCGCTACCCTACTCCCTGGGCCACTCGCTACCCCGCTCCCTGGGCCACTTGCTAGCCTGCTCCCTGGGCCACTCGCTACCCTGCTCCCTGGGCCACTCGCTACCCCGCTCCCTGGGCCACTCGCTACTCTGCTCCCTGGGCCACTCGCTACCCCGCTCCCTGGGCCACTCGCTAGCCTGCTCCCTGGGCCACCCGCTAGCCTGCTCCCTGGGCCACTCGCTACCCCGCTCCCTGGGCCACTCGCTAGCCTGCTCCCTGGGCCACTCGCTAGCCTGCTCCCTGGGCCACTCGCTAGCCTGCTCCCTGGGCCACTCGCTACCCTGCTCCCTGGCCCACTCGCTAGCCTGCTCCCTGGCGCACTCGCTAGTCTGCTCCCTGGCCCACTCGGTAGCCTGCTCCCTGGCCCTCGCTAGCCTGCTCCCTGGCCCTCGCTACCTTGCTCCCTGGCCCTCTCTAGCCTGCTCCCTGGCCCACTTGCTACCCTGCTCCCTGGCCCACTCGCTAGCCTGCTCCCTTGCCCACTTGCTACCCTGCTCCCTGGCCCACTCGCTAGCCTGCTCCCTGGGCCACTTGCTAGCCTGCTCCCTGGTCCTCGCTAGCCTGCTCCCTGGCCCACTCGCTAGTCTGCTCCCTGGGCCACTCGCTACCCTGCTCCCTGGCCCTCGCTAGCCTGCTCCCTGGGCCACTCGCTAGCCTGCTCCCTGGGCCACTCGCTAGCCTGCTCCCTGGCCCACTCGCTACCCTGCTCCCTGGCCCTCGCTAGCCTGCTCCCTGGCCCACTCGCTAGCCTGCTCCCTGGCGCACTCGCTAGCCTTCTCCCTGGCCCTCGCTAGCCTGCTCCCTGGCCCTCGCTAGCCTGCTCCCTGGCCCACTCGCTAGCCTGCTCCCTGGCCCACTCGCTAGCCTGCTCCCTGGCCCACTCGCTAGCCTGCTCCCTGGCCCACTCGCTAGCCTGCTCCCTGGGCCACTTGCTAGCCTGCTCCCTGGTCCTCGCTAGCCTGCTCCCTGGCCCACTCGCTAGTCTGCTCCCTGGGCCACTCGCTACCCTGCTCCCTGGGCCACTCGCTACCCTGCTCCCTGGGCCACTCGCTAGCCTGCTCCCTGGGCCACTCGCTAGCCTGCTCCCTGGGCCACTCGCTACCCTGCTCCCTGGCCCACTCGCTACCCTGCTCCCTGGCCCACTCGCTACCCTGCTCCCTGGCGCACTCTCTAGCCTGCTCCCTGGCGCACTCGCTAGCCTGCTCCCTGGCCCTCGCTAGCCTGCTCCCTGGCCCTCGCTAGCCTGCTCCCTGGCCCACTCGCTAGCCTGCTCCCTGGCCCACTCGCTAGCCTGCTCCCTGGCCCACTCGCTAGCCTGCTCCCTGGCCCTCGCTAGCCTGCTCCCTGGCCCTCGCTAGCCTGCTCCCTGGCCCACTCGCTAGCCTGCTCCCTGGCCCACTCGCTAGCCTGCTCCCTGGGCCACTTGCTAGCCTGCTCCCTGGTCCTCGCTAGCCTGCTCCCTGGCCCAGTCGCTAGTCTGCTCCCTGGGCCACTCGCTACCCTGCTCCCTGGCCCTCGCTAGCCTGCTCCCTGGCCCTCGCTAGCCTGCTCCCTGGCCCACTCGCTAGTCTGCTCCCTGGCCCACTCGCTAGCCTGCTCCCTGGCCCACTCGCTAGCCTCCTCCCTGGCGCACTCGCTAGCCTGCTCCCTGGCCCTCGCTAGCCTGCTCCCTGGCCCTCGCTAGCCTGCTCCCTGGCCCTCGCTAGCCTGCTCCCTGGCCCACTTGCTAGCCTGCTCCCTGGCGCACTCGCTAGCCTGCTCCCTGGCCCACTCGCTAGCCTGCTCCCTGGCCCTCGCTAGCCTGCTCCCTGGCCCACTCGCAACACTGCTCCCTGGGCCACTCGCTAGCCTGCTCCCTGGGCCACTCGCTAGCCTGCTCCCTGGCCCACTCGCTAGCCTGCTCCCTGGCCCTCGCTAGCCTGCTCCCTGGCCCACTCGCTAGCCTGCTCCCTGGCCCACTCGCTAGCCTGCTCCCTGGCCCACTCGCTAGCCTGCTCCCTGGTCCTCGCTAACCTGCTCCCTGGCCCACTCGCTAGCCTGCTCCCTGTCGCACTCGCTAGTCTGCTCCCTGGCCCACTCGGTAGCCTGCTCCCTGGCCCTCGCTAGCCTGCTCCCTGGCCCTCGCTACCTTGCTCCCTGGCCCTCTCTAGCCTGCTCCCTGGCCCACTTGCTACCCTGCTCCCTGGCCCACTCGCTAGCCTGCTCCCTTGCCCACTTGCTACCCTGCTCCCTGGCCCACTCGCTAGCCTGCTCCCTGGGCCACTTGCTAGCCTGCTCCCTGGTCCTCGCTAGCCTGCTCCCTGGCCCACTCGCTAGTCTGCTCCCTGGGCCACTCGCTACCCTGCTCCCTGGCCCTCGCTAGCCTGCTCCCTGGGCCACTCGCTAGCCTGCTCCCTGGGCCACTCGCTAGCCTGCTCCCTGGCCCACTCGCTACCCTGCTCCCTGGGCCACTCGCTAGCCTGCTCCCTGGGCCACTCGCTAGCCTGCTCCCTGGCGCACTCGCTAGCCTTCTCCCTGGCCCTCGCTAGCCTGCTCCCTGGCCCTCGCTAGCCTGCTCCCTGGCCCACTCGCTAGCCTGCTCCCTGGCCCACTCGCTAGCCTGCTCCCTGGCCCACTCGCTAGCCTGCTCCCTGGCCCTCGCTAGCCTGCTCCCTGGCCCACTCGCTAGCCTGCTCCCTTGCCCACTTGCTACCCTGCTCCCTGGCCCACTCGCTAGCCTGCTCCCTGGGCCACTTGCTAGCCTGCTCCCTGGTCCTCGCTAGCCTGCTCCCTGGCCCAGTCGCTAGTCTGCTCCCTGGGCCACTCGCTACCCTGCTCCCTGGCCCTCGCTAGCCTGCTCCCTGGGCCACTCGCTAGCCTGCTCCCTGGGCCACTCGCTAGCCTGCTCCCTGGCCCACTCGCTACCCTGCTCCCTGGCCCTCGCTAGCCTGCTCCCTGGCCCACTCGCTAGCCTGCTCCCTGGCGCACTCGCTAGCCTGCTCCCTGGCCCTCGCTAGCCTGCTCCCTGGCCCTCGCTAGCCTGCTCCCTGGCCCACTCGCTAGCCTGCTCCCTGGCCCACTCGCTAGCCTGCTCCCTGGCCCTCGCTAGCCTGCTCCCTGGCCCTCGCTAGCCTGCTCCCTGGCCCACTCGCTAGTCTGCTCCCTGGGCCACTCGCTACCCCGCTCCCTGGCCCTCGCTAGCCTGCTCCCTGGCCCTCGCTACCTTGCTCCCTGGCCCTCTCTAGCCTGCTCCCTGGCCCACTTGCTACCCTGCTCCCTGGCCCACTCGCTAGCCTGCTCCCTTGCCCACTCGCTACCCTGCTCCCTGGCCCACTCGCTAGCCTGCTCCCTGGGCCACTTGCTAGCCTGCTCCCTGGCACTCGCTAGCCTGCTCCCTGGCCCACTCGCTAGCCTGCTCCCTGGCCCTCGCTAGCCTGCTCCCTGGCCCTCGCTAGCCTGCTCCCTGGCCCACTCGCTAGTCTGCTCCCTGGCCCACTCGGTAGCCTGCTCCCTGGCCCTCGCTAGCCTGCTCCCTGGCCCTCGCTACCTTGCTCCCTGGCCCTCTCTAGCCTGCTCCCTGGCCCACTTGCTACCCTGCTCCCTGGCCCACTCGCTAGCCTGCTCCCTTGCCCACTCGCTACCCTGCTCCCTGGCCCACTCGCTAGCCTGCTCCCTGGGCCACTTGCTAGCCTGCTCCCTGGCCCAGTCGCTAGTCTGCTCCCTGGGCCACTCGCTACCCTGCTCCCTGGCCCTCGCTAGCCTGCTCCCTGGGCCACTCGCTAGCCTGCTCCCTGGGCCACTCGCTACCCTGCTCCCTGGCCCACTCGCTACCCTGCTCCCTGGCCCACTCGCTAGCCTGCTCCCTGGCCCACTCGCTAGCCTGCTCCCTGGCGCACTCGCTAGCCTGCTCCCTGGCCCTCGCTAGCCTGCTCCCTGGCCCTCGCTAGCCTGCTCCCTGGCCCACTCGCTAGCCTGCTCCCTGGCCCACTCGCTAGCCTGCTCCCTGGCCCTCGCTAGCCTGCTCCCTGGCCCTCCGCTAGTCTGCTCCCTGGCCCACTCGCTAGCCTGCTCCCTGGCCCACTCGCTAGCCTGCTCCCTGGCCCTCGCTAGCCTGCTCCCTGGCCCACTCGCTACACTGCTCCCTGGGCCACTCGCTAGCCTGCTCCCTGGCCCACTCGCTAGCCTGCTCCCTGGCCCACTCGCTAGCCTGCTCCCTGGCCCACTCGCTAGCCTGCTCCCTGGCCCACTCGCTAGTCTGCTCCCTGGGCCACTCGCTACCCTGCTCCCTGGCCCTCGCTAGCCTGCTCCCTGGGCCACTCGCTAGCCTGCTCCCTGGGCCACTCGCTACCCTGCTCCCTGGCCCACTCGCTACCCTGCTCCCTGGCCCACTCGCTAGCCTGCTCCCTGGCCCACTCGCTAGCCTGCTCCCTGGCGCACTCGCTAGCCTGCTCCCTGGCCCTCGCTAGCCTGCTCCCTGGCCCACTCGCTAGCCTGCTCCCTGGCCCACTCGCTAGCCTGCTCCCTGGCCCTCGCTAGCCTGCTCCCTGGCCCTCGCTAGCCTGCTCCCTGGCCCACTCGCTAGCCTGCTCCCTGGCCCACTCGCTAGCCTGCTCCCTGGCCCTCGCTAGCCTGCTCCCTGGCCCACTCGCTACACTGCTCCCTGGGCCACTCGCTAGCCTGCTCCCTGGCCCACTCGCTAGCCTGCTCCCTGGCCCACTCGCTAGCCTGCTCCCTGGCCCACTCGCTAGCCTGCTCCCTGGCCCACTCGCTAGCCTGCTCCCTGGCCCACTCGCTAGCCTGCTCCCTGGCCCACTCGCTAGCCTGCTCCCTGGCCCACTCGCTAGCCTGCTCCCTGGCCCACTCGCTAGCCTGCTCGCTTGAATTTATTCTCTCAGGGCTCATACAAAGGGAGTTATTGACTATCTGCACTATTGTGGTTTGCTGGAACCTGGTGCCTGAAAATCTCATCACAGCCTGTTTTCAGCAGGTACTTTGTATCAGCAACAACTAGCATTTATTTAGCGCCCGTCACTGGAGTAGTGTCTTGGAGCGCTTAACAGTGACATATTTTGATTCTGAAAAGCAGAAGTCATTGGGAACACTCAGCAGGTCAGGCAGCGTCTGTGGAGAAAGGAAAGTGATGAAGGGTTGTGGACCCGAAACGTTGACTCACTTTCCTTTCTCCATAGATGCTGCCTGACCTGCTGAGTGCTCCCAGCGACTTTTGTTTTTGTTTTCAGATTTCCAGCATCTGCAGTATTTTGCATTCAGTTTGATGCTGAGCGCAGGGAGAAAGGGGAGATGACCTTATGTACGGTCGAAGAGGAATTCTGATCTGAAGACTGGGCAATGAGGGAGTAAGGCTTTAGTGGGAGAAAAAACTTTATCCCCAGTGACCCAGATTTCAAAACAGTTTATCTATTTTCCAGTGCTGGGATGTGGGACGGGATCAGGTTGCATTGTCGGAGATGAGACAGTAGACAGAGTCTGTGCCTGTTTAGGTGGATGTTAAAGATCCCCTGGAGCTATTCCAAAAAGAGAGAAAAAGAAGTTTCTCTCCCGGTGTCGTGGCCGACAATCCCCCAGATACAAATCAGTCAGTCACGTCATGGCTGATGGTGGGGCAATGCCGTGCATACATTGGTTGCCGTGTTGCCTACAAAGTACACGGTCACTACAGTTTACAGTGCAGCGCTTTGAAATGTCCCCTCGATGTGAAAGGTGCTGTAACAAATACATATTATTGATATGATTGAAGAAAACATTCATATAAGCAAAAAGGTAATTAAATCAGTTGAACTATATCTATATATATATATTCTTGGCAGAATGATCTAAAGCTATTTGTAATCCCTACAGGTAAGATCACGAAGGGAACAAATAGTGGTGGAGGATGCCTACACGTCTAAAGCAGTGACGGTTGCCATGGTAACCTCTCCTCCATTCTCAGCCTAAGTATGCATTAATTGTGCCAATTTGTTCCTGCTAAAACATCATTAAAATTATACTCCATCTTATCAGAAGAAAGAGAATGAAACAAAAATGATTCACTTCAAATGTCATCACCATGGTTTCATTTCATAACTTGACTTTATTTAAACTCTTCGCGGTGTGAAGGAGCCTAATCATTTTTCTTGCATTTTAATTTGCAGTGAAACGTTTTTTTTTGAATGTCGAAGCAAGCGCTGTGTTAACCTGCGAAGCGAGTGACAGCTCAGCTCTGTGCTCATCAGTTAAAGTGAAGGACAAGTTGTTTGGAAATAATCTGCATTTCACAATAAAAGCCACACGGCTTCGCTTGGGATTACTGTCCTTAGACATTGGCTTCGTTCCCAATCAGTTCTGTGGGTGAGGATGCCCACTGTCCGTCAGCCCATAAAAAACACAGTCACTACACTACATTACAATATATCCTCTGGAGTGCTTTGGTACATCCTCCCAACATGAAAGGTACTGTACCAAATGTAAGAATTTATTATTATTATTAGTTAAACTGGTTTCCTCAACTCCAAGGCAGTGAGATAGAGGCTCAGAACAGAGGGTCAGTCTCGAGAGAGGAGAAACCTCATAGAGGTGCAGGAATTTTAAATGGAATTGAAAAAGCAAACTTAGAATAATACTTTAGGATGCACCAAGACAGTGGAACAAGAGGACATTGGTCTAAGAGTTGCAAAGGGCACTATCAGGACAGACACCAGGAAGTGTTTCTTTACCCAGAAGGTAATTAACGACTAGAACAGGTTGCCAGGAAGGGGGTGGGGGGGGTTGAGGTCAGGACACTGAGACTCCGTTAAAAAGCAGCTGGATATTGTGATGGGAGGGCGGTAGGATGTGGATTCTGGGAGGATGAGATAAAATGGGCTGAAGAGTCTTCATCTGAACCTATGATGTGGTTTTGTGTAAGGAACAAAGAAACATTTGCTGCCCACCATGATTTCTTCTGGATCCTGTACCTTCCATTCTCTCTCTATAATAATAATAATAATAATAATCCTTACATTTGATATAGCGCTTTTCATGTTGGGAGGATGTCCCAAAGCGCTTCACAGAACACACTGTAAAGTGAGTTGACTGTATATTTGTGGGCGAATGCGGCAGCCAATTGCGTACAGCAATGTCCCACAAACAGTCGTGGATTGAAAATGACCAATTTATTACTGTTTTTGGTTTTGGAGGGATTATTATTAGGCTCTGTGTGGAGTAAGGAAACTTGCCCAAGGTTTCGCCCTCTGCCTGGAATTGAACTCAGGTCTCTCACTTGCAAAGCGAGTGCACTAACCACTGAGCTACAGGACTCCACTCTCTGTCTTGTTCAGGAGCCACTGAGGAAGGACTTCAGAATCGTGCTGGAGACGAGCCAGTCAATGAATGTGTTGGGCCTGATGGCATTCTGCATTGTGCTTGGTCTGATCATGAGCAAGATGGGAAAAGAGGCAGCACCACTAATCTCAATCTTTGACTCTTTCAACAAAGTCATAATGAGAGTGGTTACTATTGTAATGTGGCGAGTACAGGATTGCAAGAGATCGGCCCATCACTTCTTGTAAATCACCTTCTGCCTTGCAAACGTAACTCAGAGCCAATCACCCAGTTATGTCACCCTGGCTCAGGTGGTAGCACTCTGCCTTCTGTGTCAGAAGGTAGGAGATTTAAGCCTCGAGTCGGGCACTTTGAGCTCCTGTAGGCCAGGCTGGCAATTCACTGCAGTGCTGGGGGGAGCTCTACTTTACCAGCGATGCCGTCATTTGGATGAGACGTTAAACCGAGATCCCGCCTGCCTGTTGAGGTCGACATTAATGATCAAAGGAGATGGAGAGGGTGTGGGCGGGGGCTTCTCAGGGTCCTGGCCGACAATTTTGTGGTCCTCCCCCACCACCCACCCACCCCCAGTTAAATTGTTCATTCAATTCATGGCTTTTGTGAGACATTTCTGTGTGCTCCTACACCTGTTTATAATTTACACAGTCACTATACTTTACAGTGAATCTTGTGAAGCAGTTTGTGCTCCTGATGTGAAAGGTACGATATCGAACACAAGCAATATTATTCTCACTCCTGTTATCCATTATGTTTGTACCTTGTCCACCCAGATACATGCCCGTTGGTCTGTTTTTCCTGATTGCCAGCAAGATTATTGAAATGGACGACTGGGAGATTTTCAAACAATTAGGTTTGTACATCACAACCGTTCTTGGAGGGTAAGAGAGCAAGAGATATGATTATTTCCCTCCAAAGAGCAGAGCCCATGAAGGAATGCCACGTACGTTCCAAACAGAAAGGAGCGGGACAAATGTTTGGTTGCTAAAAGGATTGTGGCTTATTGCAATACCACCCTCCTCCCCCAGTGTAGGAAATGAGGATAAATTTGGGTTAAATAGCACAAAAAATGGGTTAATGTCATTTTCTCCAACCCACCCTTGCTTGTTTGCCCCCTCTCTCCACTCAGCTAACTCAGACCACACAGAGTCAGTACAGCTCAAACCTTCAGCCTCTAAATATGACCCTAACAACTGGTACTCCCTCCTCTACCTCTCCACCTCACTTTCCCTCTCTCTATTTCTCTTTAAATGGGGAAAGAGTGGGACAGTGGGCCAAAGAGCCGGCCAGCACAGACACGGAGGGCAGAATGGTTCAAGAACCAATCCTTATGTTTGAGTTTGTGGGATGCATTAATAATAATAATAATAATAACAACAATAATCTTTGAGTTTCATGCAGGGCCTTTCATGTGGGGAGGACATCTCAAAGTGCTTTGCAGGATTTACTGAATAGTGTAGTCACTGTATGTTTTTGTAGGTCAACATGGCAGCCCATTTGAGCATAGCAATGTCCCACAGACAGGCATGAAGTGAATGACTGTTGGCCAGGACACCGGGGGAGAATCTTCCCTGCTCTTTACAGGTAATGCCACAGAATCTTTAGCATCCACCTGATGAGCACGAGGTTTAATGTCTCATCTGAAGGATTGCACCTCTAACAAGGCAGTGCACCTCCAGCACTGCATTGGAGTGTCAGCCTAGGCTATGTGAGCTCAAGGTCCTGACACCTTGAACCCACAACCTTCCGACTCAGAGGCGTGTTCTAGCAATTGAACAAGGCTGATATCTTTTCACTCTAAAACTATCCCCAAATCCTTTTGTGGTGCCTTCAATGTCAATAATAAAACCTCAATTCTCCTTCTCCATTATTATGTCCCATTACAGTTCAGCTACCTTGCCTGTGACTTTCAAATCCGTTGAAGAAAAGATTGGCGTCAGCAACACTGTGTCTAGGGTTTTCCTCCCATTAGCGACTACAATCAACCTGAACGGTTCTGCCCTGTATCAAGCTGTGGCTGTCATTTTTATTGCCAGGTTAACGGTTACTCCCTGAACTTCACACAGATAATCGTCTTAAGGTCGGTATTCGCATCGAATCACTTCACAGCCACAACTTCAGTTTAGGAAACTGGGTGAATGGTGATGGTGGAAAAGCAGTCAATAGAGTTGGGATTGTTCCCTCTTGGCTCCTGTTAACCTGGCAATGGCCGGGGTTGGTCTGCACACGCAAGCCACGGAAAGCTTGATAGTCAGCTTTCGCAAGTGAATTGCTACATGGATTTATTGGGTTGAATTCCAGCAGTTACCCCCAGTGAACTCTCTGGGCTGCTGCGGTTTTAATAATAATAATCATCCTTACATTTGATAAAACGCCTCATCACCTCATTGAGAAGTCTTAAAGCGCTTCACAGGATACATTGTAAAGTGGAGTGACTGTGTATTTTGTGGGTGATTTAGATAATGAAATTCCCAGCAGTTATCCCCAATCCACACACTGGTCTCCTCAAGCTTTGGCTTTCGTCAACCTGGAAATTAATGGTAGTACACAGGGGTAGAGGGCCACCGTGATGGGGGGAGAGTGTTAATGTCGGGGGGGGGGGGGGGGGGGGAGGGAGAGGGGCAGTGTGGGGCGGGGAGAGGGGCAGTTTGGGAGGAGAGGGGCAATGGGGTGGGGGAGAGGAGCAGTGTGGGGGAGAGGGCAGTGGGGTGGGGAGAGGAGCAGTGTGGGGAGAGGAGCAGTGTGGGGGAGAGGAGCAGTGTGGGAGGAGAGGGGCAGTGGGGTGGGTAAGAGAGGGTCAATGTAGGGGAGGGAAAAGAGGGCAGTGGGGGGGAGGAGCAATGTGTGGGGGGGAGAGGGGCAGTGGGGGAGGAGCAATGTGTGGGGGGGGGAAGAGAGGCAGTGTAGGGGGGGAAGAGGGGCAGTGGGGGGAGGGGGCAGTGTGGTGGGGGGAGAGGGGCAGTGTGGGGAGTGGGCAGTGTGGTGGGGGGGAGAGGGGGCAGTGTGGGGAGTGGGCAGTGTGGTGGGGGGGAAGAGGGGCAGTGGGGGGAGGGGGCAGTGTGGTGGGGGGGGAGAGGGGCAGTGTGGGATGGGAGGGGCGTTAAGGAATGGCCTGAGGTGGTGCAAGTTGTCATTAACGTTTGTAAATTTTCTTTTATTATTTTCTTATTATTATTTTGTTTATTTTTTCATCTGGGGTATAGTTTAGGATGTCAAGCGCGTGCCGGGATAGTGGAAGGAGGCCAACTAGATAGACTTTTCTCGCCAGCGAATTCTAATGTTCTTATCTTCTCATCTTCTCCAAACCTCACAGCCACAGTCTCCAGCAGAGCAGGCTCCGGGGTACCGAGCACAGGGGCAGTTGCCATGATGACCACGTTAGCTGCGGTGGGTCTGCCGTTCGATGACATACTGACAGTGGACTGGCTCCTATAAGTGAAAGATTTGTCCTCTGCGTGTGTCTGCTTAGCTCACGTTAGTTAAGGGAGATGTCAGGCTGGCTCAGTCTGTTTGCCGCAGTCACTGCACCTTACACTGGATTCCTGGCGATGCCCACGTTGAGACTGGGGTCCTCTCGAGGTGAAGGGCGGGAGCTGCATCAAATGCAAGGGATTTTTTTCATTGTTAACCTCGCTATGACGCGTGTATCACGTGAAATCAATCAATCAATCAATCAATAAACAAACAAACAAATAAAAGCTTAGAGATAATGCAGGGCTGTCCGTGCGCTGTTCATTGAATGCCCCGTCGTCAAGAACATCGTCAGTGTTTGCTTTATCTGTTATTTCCGTGATTCTGTCTGTGGTTGTGTTTTAAAAACATCAAAGGTGGAGATTTCTGTCAGGATTCCTTAATTCAGAACTCTGGAATTAGGCCTTCACAGAAAATCTTTCCAGCTCGATCAATCACAACATCCCTAACCTCCAGAACTCCCTCCATCTTCCCTTCAATCTCACCCCATCTCTATCACTTCCTTAAAACCTACCTGTTCCACTCTGCCTATGGTCACCTCTCTCTTTCTTGCTCCCCTCTCCTTGGTTTCTTTCCTACCCCGGCTTTATAAAGTGCCTTGAGATGTTATTCAATGATTATACTTCAATCATTGCTGTAACTATCATTGTTATTCAATTATTGCCACGTAAGTGCAAGTGGTTTTACTTTCGTTACGCATTTCCTATAATAATAATAATCCTTGCATTTGATATATCTATAAAGTCAAGAACTTTACTGCGTTTGTGTGAAGTGTAGTGACTGTGTATTTTGTAGGCAAACACAGTAGCCAATTAGTACTTAGTAATGTCCCAAAAGCACCGATGAAGTGAATGATCAGTTTTATCAAAGGGGATTGTTGGCCAGGACACTGGGGAGAAACTCCCTTCTCTTTGCGAATCGAGATCTTTGACATCCACTGACCATTTAACGCTTCATCCAAAGGATGGCAACTCCAACGATGCACTGCTCCCCCCAGCGCTGCATCGACTGTGATCTTGACGTGGGGCTTGAACCCACCACTCTCTGACCTGGAGGTGAGAGTAGGACAACTGAACCAGGCTGACACGTGTTAGAGATGCAGACCTCTGTGCCGTTTAACCCCTCCTGTGAGTAGCGCTAATTTATTTCCTTTATTTGCTGGTTAGGGGACCGCTTCAGAACGATGGTGACTGTGCTGGGAGACGGGATCGGGGCAGGAATCGTGGACCATCTATCAATCCAGGACTTGAAATGACATGAGCTTCAGGTCAAAATATTATCAAGAATCATCAGGCCATTTAAAGTCGGCTTGTTGCAGTGTGTTATCCCAGGATGTTAAACTCAAGCCTTAGTTCATTTCCTTCCTGTGGTGCAAAATAGTTTTACATGTTGCCAAAAAGGAAATCTAATTGTGCAAAATCATATAATAATAAAACACAATTCTTGCGTGTGATTATAGCATCTTATCGGTCAGAATGTCCCAAAGGGTTTACTGCAAAAACTATAAAGAGCTTTGACAGGTTGAATAGTGAGCAACTGTTTCTTCGTCAGCAGAATTGAGGACCAGAGGCCATTATCTTAAACTCGAGCTGAAACCTTCAGAAGTTGTATAAGGAATCGTGTTTTCAGGCTGCAGTGGGATTCACTCCCCAGAGGGCAGTGGAGGCAGAGACCGTTGAAAAATTTTCAAGGCTAATAGACGCGGGAAAGCGGGACCGGCTCAGGGGCCGACTCCGCTCTTACGTACAATCACTGCACTCCGTGAGAATTATGGAAAGTGCTTCAATCCACACTTATTGCCCACAAAGTGTAGAGTCAATTCACTTCACAGTGTGTCCTGTGAAGCGCTTTGAGATGTTTTGATGACGTGACGCGGCGCCGGTCAAATCCCGGCATTGTTATTGCTCCCTCAGAAGCCGTTCTTCCAGTTTGTGTTCGCGGCGACTGATCAACAACTGATCAACAACTGATCAACAACTGCCACAATTCCACCATTATCCAACACCAGGACAACTGCTGCAATCCCGGCTCTCGCCACAGGGGCTCTGTGCTGTGCTGGGGGCGGGGCTGTGCTGGGGGCGGGGCGGGGGCGGGGCGGGGCTGTGCTGGGGGCGGGGCTGTGCTGGGGGCGGGGCTGGGGGCTGTGCTGGGGGCGGGGCGGGGCTGTGCTGGGGGCGGGGCGCGGGGCGGGGCTGTACTGGGGGCGGGGCTGTGCTGGGGGCGGGGCTGGGGGCTGTGCTGGGGGCGGGGCGGGGCTGGGGGCGGGGCGGGGGCGGGGCTGGGGGCGGGGCTGGACTGGGGGCGGAGCTGGGCTGGGGCGGGGCGGGCGGGGCTGGGGGGCGGGGCTGGGGGCGGGGCTATGCTGGGGCGGGGCGGGGCTGGGGGCGGGGCTGGGGGCGGGGCTATGCTGGGGCGGGGCGGGGGCGGGTCGGGGTAGGAACCTCTGTCCGGGGTCTGGCGGCTCCGGGGACAGGTTTGGCGGCGGCTCCGGTGCTGATGGAGCGGTTTCGGGTCCGACACATTGTTCAGTGAGTAAATACCCCTCACACCCACCCACAGGGGGTCACACCCCCCACACCACCCACAGGGGGTCACACACCCCCCCCACCCACAGGTCACACCACACCCACAGGGGTCACACCCCCCCCACACCCACCCACAGGGGGTCACACACCCCCCCACACCCACCCACAGGGGGTCACACCCCCCCCACACACCACAGGGGGTCACACCCCCCCACACCCCCACAGGGGTCACACCCCCCCACACACCACAGGGGGTCACACACCCCCCACACACCCACAGGGGGTCACACCCCCCCCACACACCACAGGGGTCACACACACCCCCCACACACACCCCCCACCCCACAGGGGGTCACACCCCCCCCACACCCACCCACAGGGGGTCACACCCCCCCACACACACACAGGGGGTCACACACCCCCCACACACACACAGGGGGTCACACCCCCCCCACACCCACCCACAGGGGGTCACACACCCCCCACACCCACCCACAGGGGGTCACACCCCCCCACACCCACCCACAGGGGTCACACCCCCCCCCACACACACAGGGGGTCACACCCCCCCCACACCCACCCACAGGGGGTCACACCCCCCCACACCCACCCACAGGGGGTCACACCCCCCCCACACCCACCCACAGGGGGTCACACACCCCCCACACACACACAGGGGGTCACACACCCACCCACAGGGGGTCACACACCCCCCACACACACACAGGGTGTCACACACCCCCACACATACCCCCACACACAGGGGGTCACACCCCCCCCCCACACACACACACAGGGGGTCACACACACACCCCCACACACACAGGGGGTCACACACACCCCCCCACACACACACACACACAGGGGGTCACACACCCCCACACATACCCCCACACACAGGGGGTCACACACCCCCACAAACAGGGGCTCATATACACACACACACAGGGGGTCACACACACACACAAGGTCACATACACACACACACACACACAGGGCAACACACATATACACACAGGGGATCACACCCTGAGATAGAGAGACATGGAGCACACAGTAAATCACATACGCAAGGAAGAGAGACAGTGAGACAGACGAGAGAGAGTGAGAGAGTGAGTGAGTGAGTGAGACACAGAGAAAATAAGAGAATCACACAGTGAGCGCGAGAGACACACATAGTGAGTATAATATATAATAATCCTTATATTTAGTAATACAGAGAGAATCACAGTGAGAGAGAGAGACACACACACAGAGTACAATATGATAATCCTTATATTTAATAATACAGAGAGAGAAAGTCACTGAGAGCGATTGGGATAGAGACCCAGTGAGTAAATCACACGGAGAAAAAGAGCGTAAATGACACAGAGTGAGTGCGAGACAGTGATAGAGAGAGAGTAAGAGAGAAAATCAGAGACATTGAGAGAGAATGTATAAAAGCGCTCTGAGATGCTGTCCTACATGACGTGCGCTATATAAATGCAAGTTGTTGTTGTAAATCACACAGAGATACGTAGTGAGTAAATCAGAGAGTCTGAGAGAGAGCGAGACACACACACACACACAGTGCGACAAAATGAGTGAAGAGAGGGTGAGATATGCGCACACTAAGAACAAACAGATAAAGAGTACAGTGAGAGAGGGTGAAGGGGTAAAAGAGAGAGGCAGACACAGTGGGAGGGTAGTGAGGGAATAGAGGCAGGTAGGAAGATGCTATGAATTTGGGGTGACCAACTTTGCTTCATATCACCTTTAGTTTCAGAAACAATTACCATGAAATTGACCTCACCTTCAGCAATGTGTTCCAGAGTCAAGCTTCCCTCCTGCCCCACTTCTCCAGATGAGAAACCTGAACAGATCATAGAATTATACATCACAGAAGGAGGCCATTCAGCCCATCGTGTCTGTGCCGGCTCTTTGAAAAGAGCTTCCAAATCAACCCCACTCTCTCTCCGTAGCCCTGATCAACCCCACTCCCCTCTCATAGCCCTGATTAACCCCACTCCCCCACTCTCTCCCCATAGCCCTGATCAACCCCACTCCCCCGCTCTCTCCCCATAGCCCTGATCAACCCCACTCCCCCACTCTCTCTCCGTAGCCCTGATCAACCCCACTCCCCTCTCATAGCCCTGATTAACCCCACTCCCCCACTCTCTCCCCATAGCCCTGATCAACCCCACTCCCCCACTCTCTCTCCGTAGCCCTGCAAACATGTCCTCCCCAAATTATTATCAACTTTCCTCTTAAAAGTTGTTAAGGAATCGGCTTCCCCCAGCCTTTCAGGCAATGCATTCCAGATCCCAACAACTTACTGCGTGAAAACATTTCTCCTCCCCTCTGTTTCTTTTAAATCGGTGTCCTCAGGTTACCAACCCAGCCACCAGAAATAGTTTCTCCTTGTTCACCCTATGGAATCCCCTCATAATTTTGAAAACTTCGATTAAGTCTCCTCTTAACCTTCTCTGCTCCAAGGAGAATAATCCCGGCTTCTCCAGTCTCTCCTGATAACTGAAGTCCCTCATTCCTGGTACCATCCTGGTCAATCTCCTTTGTACCCTCTTCAATGCCTTGACATCCTTCCTAAAGTGTGGGGCCCAGAACTGAGCACAGTCTCTAACTGAGGCCTAACCAGTGTTTTATATAAAGGTTCATCATAACTTCCTGACTTGTGTATTCTATGCCCCTATTTATAAAGCCCAGTATCCCGTATGTGTTTTTAACAGCTGTATCTACCTGTCCGGCCACCTTCAAAGATTTACTTATATGAACCCCAGGTCTCTCTGTTCCTTCACCCCCTTGCCCAAGGGCGAAACCTTGGCCAAGTTTCCTTATTCCCCACGACTAATAATAATTCCTCCAAAACAAAACAATAATACATTGGTCATTTTCAATCCACGACTGTTTGTGGGACGCTGCTGTGCGCAATTGGCTGCCGCGTTTGCCCACAAATATAAGTCAATTCACTTTACAGCATATTCTGTGAAGCGCTTTGAGATGTCGAGAAGACATGAAAAGCGCTATATCAAATGCAAGGATTATTTTTATAATTATTATTAAGATGATCCCAATACCGACCCCTGGAGGACACCACTGCACACTTCCCTCCAGTCAGAAAAACAACCGTTCACCACCACTCTCTGCTCTCTGTCTCCCAGCCAGTTCTGTATCCACTGCCACTAATAATGATAATAATAATAATAATCCTTGCATTTGATATAGCGCTTTTCACGTCAGGAGGACGTCCCAAAGCGCTTCACAGAACACACTGTAAAGTGAATTGACTGTATATTTGTGGGCGAACGCGGCAGCCAATTGCGCACAGCAGTGTCCCACAAACAGTCGTGGATTGAAAATGACCAATTTATTATTGTTTTTGTTTTGGAGGGATTATTATTAGGCTCTGTGTGGAGTAAGGAAACTTGCCCAAGGTTTCGCCCTCTGCCGGGAATTGAACCAGGTCTCTCACTTGCAAAGCGAGTGCACTAACCACTGAGCTACAGGACTGTCCCTTTAATACCGTGGGCTTATATTTTGATGATAAGTCTCTTATATGGCACTTTATCAAACGCCTTTTGAAAATCCACATAAACTACATCAACTGCACTACCTTCATCCACCCTCTCTGTTACTTCATCAAAAAACTATCAGGTTTGTTTGACACGATTTGCCTTTAACAAACCCGTGTTGACTGTCCTTTATTAACCCATATTTTTCTAAGTGAAAATATATTTTGTCCTGGATTATAGTCTCTAGAAGTTCCCCACTACTGACGTTGGGCTGACTGGCCTGTAGTTCCCAGTTTATCCTTCTACCCCTTTTGGTACGGGGGAATAACAGTTGCAAACCTCCAGTCCTCTGGCACCACACCGGTGTCCAACAAGGATAGAAAGATTGTGGCCAGAGCTTCCTTGAATTCCCCCCTTACTTTCCTCAGTATCCTAGGATGCATCCTGTCCGGATCAGGTGACTTATCTACCTTGACAACCTTTTTAGTTCCTCCTCTCAGTTTATTCTTATCCAATTTCTCTCCCCTCTCCTCCAATACTGTGGCATCAGCTGCATCCTCGTTTTTTTGTGAAGTCAAATGCAAAGTACTCATTCAGTACGTCAGCCATGTCCTCTGCCTCCACAAGAAGATTTCCTCTTTGGTCCCTAATTGGACCCACCCTACCTTTGACTAACCTTTTATTCTTTATATGCTTCTAAAATACCTTAGTGTTCCTTTTTATGTTACCCGCTAATCTTTTCTCATACAATCTCTTTGCCCCTCTTATTTCCTTTCTCAGTTCTCCACTGTACTTTCTATATTCTGTTTGATTGTCTTCTGTATTTTAGACCTGACATTTATCATAAACCTGCTTTTTCTGTTCTATTTGAATCCCAATTTCTTTATTTATCCAGGGAGGTTTGGATGCCCTACCTTTCCCTTTTGTGAGAATGTATTTGTTCTGTCCCCAAACTATCTCCTCCTTCAAGGCTTCCCATTGCTTGTTGGCTGTTTTACCTGCCAATCTTTCTTTCCAGTCCACCTTGGCTAGATCCCTTTTCAATTCACTGAAATTAGCCCTCTACCAGTTGAATATCTTCACATTTGATTGATACTTGTCCCTTTCCATAACTACTCTAATCCTAACGATGTTGTGATCACTATTGTCCAGATACTCTCCCACTGAAACCTGCCCCACTTTATTCCCCAGAACGAGATCCAGCACTGCTCCCTTCCTCATTGGGCTGGAAACATACTGATCCAGAAAGTTATCCTGCACATATTTCAGGAATCCTTCCCCCTCCTTGCCCTTTACACTGTTATTTTGCCAGTCTATGTTAGGACAATTGAAGTCCCCCATTATCACCACTCTATTGGTTTTGCATCTTTCTGAAATCTGCTGCAGATTTGCTCATCCATCTCCATCCCACTATTCGGTTGTCCGTAGTATACACCTAACACAGTAACAGCTCATTTTCTGCTCCTTAACTCTAATCAACTCTAATAGATTCTGTTTTGGACCCTCTTGCACATTGGCCCTTTCCAAGGCAATAACTGTGTCTTTAATCAATATTGCCACACCACCTCCTTTTTTCCCTTCCCGACCCATCCTGAATACATTGCAGCCAGGAATATTCAGCTCCCATTCCTGCCCGTGTTTGAGCCAAGTCTCCGTTATTGCCACGGCATCATAACCCCATGTGACAACTTGAGCTGCAGCTCACCAACCTTATTATCACACTCCAACAACAACAACAACAAGATTCCATTTATAAAGCGCCTTTCACGTCGGGAGGATGTCCCAAAGCGCTGCACAGTTGGGTCATGACCCGAGCAGGGGGGAAATGGTCAGGGTGAGGGGAGGGGGGGGGAGCGAGGAGGGGGGAAATGGTCAGGGTGAGGGGAGGGAGGGAGCGAGGAGGGGGTGCATTTACACACATGCATCCAAGACACTGAGTCTGTTCTGCATTTCTCCCCCATCTAATCCCATTGCTATTCGTCTCTCCCGGCCCTCTATGTAACTTGTTTGTCCTCTCTGATGTTACATCCTGATTCCCTTCCCCACTTGAAATTAGTTTAAACCCTTCCCCATAGCATCAGTTAACCTTCCTGGGAGGACATTGGTCCCAGTCCTGTTCAAGTGAAACCTATCCACCTTTTACTGGACCCACCTACCCCAGAACTGGTCCCAATGTTCCAGGAACCTGAAGCCCTCCTTTCTGCACTGTTTCTCCAGCCATACATTCATATGTTTGATCCTATTGTTTTGATCCACTTGCACGAGGCACTGGGAGTAATCCAGAGATCACCACCTTTGATGTCCTACTCTTTAACATTTTCCCTAGCTTCTGATGCTCTCCCTGTAGGTTCTCATCCCTTTTTTTTCCATTCATCATGGCTCCCAACATGGATCATGACTTCTGGATGTTCCCCTTCCCCCTGTAGAATATTTTGCACCTGTTCTGTGATGTCTTCAACCCTGGCAGCATGGAGGCAACATAACATGCAAGAGTCACATCTTTAGTTGCAGAAACACTTGTCTACTCGTTTCACTGTTGTGTCCCCAATGACAATTACATTGACACTCTTCCCTGTATCCCCCTGAGCATCCATTTGCTTTTGACTCCCCTCCCAGAGGTGTCATCACCCTGACAGGTATTCACTGCAGAGAACCAGTTTGTGGCACACTCTCAGGGGATTTCTGTACTGCCCGTCCCCTCTCCCTACCATGCCGAGTGGTCACCCACTCACTCTCCTGCTGAACCCTCTGTGGCTGTGGGGTGACCACCTACTGAAACGTTTTTGATCCATGAACTCTCCAGCCTCCCGTATGCTATGTAGTGACACCAGCTCAGAAACTCTGAGCTCCAGCTCAAGCAGCCGGAGGAACTTCCAACACACACCGTGTCTGTCCAGGGCTCACAAAGCCTCCTGGAGCTCCCACATTGTGCACGCAACCGGTATCAGCTGCGCTGCCATATTTCCAGACATGTTTTATATTATTTTAATATAAATATATTTTATGATTATTATCTCTTTCCCCCCACTCTGCACTAAATTTCCACTCTCGCCAAATTCCATAACAGAATTCTCACTCTATGCCATCTAAAATTCCCAGTCTTCCAAATTCCTTAAAATAATTCCTTAAAAGTTCCCTCTGCTCTCGCAATTCTCCCCTTTATATAGGCCTCTGATACAACCAGTTTCAACTGGTCAGCAAATAATTAACTAATCCCTAACATCTGGCCTGAGACTAACTGCTGATTTGACTTGTTTACCTGTTTGTTTACCTCAGGCCACTGAAATTCTTGTTCATGCCCTCATCACCTCCAGGTTCGACTATGCAAACGCTCTGCTTGTCGGCCTTTCCAACTCCTCCCTCCACAGCTGCAGATAATCCAGAACTCTGCAGCCCATGTCCTCTCGCGCACCAAACTCCTTGACCCCATCTCCCCCATTCTCGCCCAACTCCATTGGCTCCCTATCCTTCAGAGGTTCCAGTTCAAGATCCTGACATACGAAGCCCTCCAAGGCCTCGCCCCACCCTACCTCTGCGACCTCCTAACCCTCTACCAACCCGGCAGCTCCCACCGCTCAGCCGCCTCCGACCTGCTCCCAAGTTCCCCGACCCACCCATCTCACCATTGGCGGGAGAGCCTTCAGATACTCTGTCCCCAACCTCTGGAATTCCATCCCCCAGTCACTCTGCCTCGCCCTCTCCTTAGCTTCTTTCAAGTCCCGCCTCAAGACCCTCCTCTTCAACCATGCCATGGGCCACCCGCTTCCACTTCCCTCCCTTCTCCCTCCCTGACCACAGCTCGGGTCTGAAATACTGTACACTGTCCAGCTCCTTGGGACGTCCTCCCGACGTGAAAGGCACTATACAAATGTAATCTTGTTGTTGTTGTTGTTTGAAAAGTTATTTTGCTCAAGAAGCAGCTCCACTCTTTTGCTAAAAGAAAGAGTTCTCTCTTGCTCAAGAATTCCCACTCTCACCAAATTCCTCAAGTAGAATCCTCACTCTGTTCCACCTCACTCAGTTCCCTCCTCACTTTGGTGAGCTCTCTGTTCGATAAATAAATACTCGTAACTTTTTTNGGGGGTGTGGGGTATCAAAAACGTGTTCCATAATGGCTCATGTAGTACTGAACTGGGTGATATTGGACGTTTTCGATGGTTTAACAGGACAAACCATGTTGGTCCCATGATCAGTCCCAGTAATGTGGTTTGTGGTGTGTTAGCTTCAGTAGGATGGGAGTGTCACGATTGGGCTCCCCTGGATTCCGTGGGGTACAAACTGCTCCAGTATTCATCTTGAAAGTAGAAACAAAAGTCGCTGGGAACACTCAGCAGGTCAGGCAGCATCTATGGAGAAAGAAAAGTGAGTCAACGTTTTGAGTCCACGACCTTTCATCAGAGCTGGGGCATGTTGGGAGGGAGAAGCTTTTAGGGGTTAACAGAGGCAGGGCAAGGAAGACAAAGGAGAAAATGGGGTAGAGGGCAGGGGATGATGAGTTAAATAGGTTTTAATGATGCAAAACAAAGGGGTGGGGGGGATTTTCAACAGCAGGGGAATAGAGGTGTTAATATTGCAGAACATAAGTGGAGGGAAAAAACTTGCAACAAAACAGGCAGATCAGGGAGAGAAAAGATGTGTCTGGGACCAAGATGATGTGGTGGTTATCACAGAAGAGAGGGAGGAGGAAGGTGAGCTGTTATGGTATGAAATTGTTGTAAGGTTCCCTAGCAGATCAATGAGGTGCTTGCTCGAGCTTGCGCTGTGGCTCATTGGAACAGCATAGGAGACGGTGGATGGAGAAAGATCATAGTGGTTACTCTTATAGAATCACAGAATCATACAGCATAAAAGAGGCCATTCGGCCCATCGTGTCTGCGCCGGCTCCTAAAAGAGCAATCCCACTCAATCCCACCGGCCCACTTTCTCTCCATAGCCCTGCAATCCTGTCCTCCCCAAATACCCATCCACTTCTCTCTTAAAAGTTGTTATTGAATTGGCTTCACTACCCTTTCCTCCTAACTGAGCAGCCATTTCAGAGGGTGCTAAGCATCACCCATGCAGAATGGCACTGACGTCACTCGCTGTCCAGACCATGTAAAAATGGTAGATTTCCTGGTGCCTGAAGGACATGTCACTTGGGCTCCTGATCTGTGCTGGAAATGAACATATGGATATTAAAAAGTTGCCCGAGGACCCAAGTGATGAAACATGTCCACCAGGAAGCCACCACTGACACATTGACATGAGGTAACATCATCAAGTTGGCCATTTTGGCCTTCCATGGGCCAGCCGGCAACTTACATGCTAAAAAAAAATTACCTGGGTAACAGGTCATCAGGTCACTGCTGACATCACATCATATCATATGCAGTGAATGCAGATTGCACCCCCTCCAATGCCCTGGTTGGGATTTTATTCACACCCCCCCCCCCCCCCCAGCTGGGTAACAACGCAAAATGAAATTTGTTTACTTATACATTTGAAAAAAAAACTTTGCATTAAAGGTTATAGAAATAATTTTTCTTTTCAATAGGTTCTTGCAACAAAATGCTTTTTGCAGATTGCTCCGTGCCATGAATCCCTCACACAGCATCCCTGTGCGGAGTAATTCTAACAGAACATCAGTGGTGCGTCATGGAAGGCAAGCCTATGGCAGGCTGTATCCTGTTCTGCTGGTTCAACCTGACGGATCCACTATCAATATTCTATACAAGGAACCGAAAAGAATTCTATATGTAAGGATTAAATGGATTATTTGGTGGGGGCAGAATTCAGTTCATTTAGAACAATAATATTTTTCAGTTAACATTTACAGTTTGTTCATGTGAACTAGCCACACTGATTGTTTCATGCCTTTCGATTATGTTCATGGCTCAAATGATATATTTGTTCAAGCCATTGGTCTATTTATATAAATAATAATCCTTACTTTTTTTTGCATTTGATATAGTGCCTTATTACGTCATCGAGACGTCTTAAAGCATTTCACAAGCTATACTGTAAAGTGAATTGTCTGTGTATTTTGTGGCAACTAGTTTGCATGTAGCAGTGTCCCACAAACAGCCATGAGTTGTTGACCAGAACACTGGGAAAGAGAAACTTCCTTCTCTTCTTGAATAGTGCCATGAGATCTTTAACATCCACTTGAACAGGGAACTCGATTTAACGTCTCATTCGCAGGACAGCACCTCCAACAGCACTCCGCTAGCGCTGTATCGGAGCCTCATCTTAGACTATGTGATTTCAAGTCCCGAAGTGGGGCTTGAACCCACAACCTTCTGACTCAGAGGCGAGAGACCACTACCACTATGCCAGGCTGACACAATATAATCTGAGAGTGCTTCTGTCAAAGTGTTTTCATCCTGATCTTGCCTGTGCCCCGGCCAACAATCCCCCAGATAAACGTGGTCATTCACTTCACGGCTGTTTGTTGGGCATTACTGTGTGCAAGTTGGCTGATGCATTTAACTACAAAATACTTGATCACTATAATTTACAGTAAAACCTGTGAAGTGCTTTGAGGTGTCCTCCTGACATGAAAGGTGCTGTATCAAATGTAAGGATGATCATTATAACAGTTGAAATTGGAAACTCAAAATCCTGGTGCAAGGTAGAGATTTCCTCCTGTGAAATGCCCTTTTTTTGCCTCCGTTTGCTTTAGAAGCTTTTTTCCATCTGAATTTAGACTGTTACATATATTCATATCCATTCTGCACAGTCCCTTCACAAATCACGAGATAGTACACACAAGACCATGAGTTTGCTTCTATCTATATATGTAAAAAGGACATCAATGCACTTGTCGGATCTTGGTGCTGTCTATTTGAAAATTGGAGCATTATCTGCACCTAACAGAACTGCAGACGGGGAAAGGAAAGATCAGCTGATATTGAAAGCTCACTTTAACTGAGTTAAATGGCAGCAAGAACATGAAAGAGAACGCATGTATGTATTTTTTTTATCACCTTCAAATAATTGTTGGGGGAAAATACTGCTGGAGCCAATCAAGCAGACCATTATACACCCAACAGTCATAGGTTCAGATGGCGTTTTCTGAAAATATTCTTAAAACATTTTGTATGCAAATGTAGAATCCTTGAATTATACAGCACAGAAGGAGGCCATTCGGCCCATCGTGTCAGGGACGGCACTTTGAAAAGAGCTTCCAAATCAATCCCACTCCCCCACTCTCTCTCTCCATAGCCCTGCAAACTTGTCCTCCCCAAATATCTACTTTCTCTCTTGAAAGTTGTTCTGTAGGACTATTGTTTTTTCTGTCGGATTGTCTTGACAGAGCTATGAATCGCCTTAAACACCTCGTTCCTGTCAGACCGAGATGCCCGTGATTGACATGCAAACATAACGACAAAATGATTTTGTTACAGATGCCAGTGGACATTTCCCTCCTTTCGGAGGACGAGAGGAAAGTCCGGATGCGCAGGCGAGAAGCCAAGAAAACAAAACACAAGGAGGAGGAATTCGAGGAAGAGGAGTTTAAAATGGATGATTACAGCAAATTCTGGAAGAAAAAGTAATTTAGAAATGTAGGATTGTGAACATTAACCGCTAAAGGTGCCAGCAAAGCCACTTCTCTTCATTTGGCAGGTGGACAGTTTGTCTCTATTTCACGTTGTGTAACAAGTACAAATCACAATAAATTAATGGAGCAGTTTTACGCAATATAATCTTTCGTAAGTTATATTGTCGACCAAAATAGTCATCACAGCGAGTGTGAAGGTCTTGTGTTTGAGAGGCTTCACACGGTAACAAGTTCTCTTTATAAAAGGGCAGGTATCAGCCTGGCTCAGTGGATAGCACTCTCACCAGTGAAGTCAGAAGGTTGTAGGTTCAAGCCCCATACAGGGAGTTCAGTGTCCAGGCTGACACTCCCAATACAGCGCTACATACAGTGCTACACTGTCAGTGCTGCTGATCAGAGGTTAAACTAAGATCCCGACTGCACATGTTCAGATGGACGTTAAAGAGTTTAATGTGGGAGTTTCTCCTGGTGTCATCACCAACAAACCCCCAGATAAAACTGTCATTCACTTCATGGCTGTTTGTGGGATAGTTGCTATATGTAAATTAGCTGCCACAATCGCCTACGAATGCAGTCATTTAATATTTTACAGTAAAAATCCTGTGAAGTGCTCTGAGATGTCTTCTCGACATGAAAAGCGCTATATCAAATACAAGTTGCATTATTATAAGTTTTGCTGGTGCAGGAGAACTTCAGTGAATCAACCGTGTCGTACTTTATATTTTTAAGAAAATAGGAACAGTAAGAGGCCATTCAGCCCATTGAGCCTGTTCCACCAGTTTATTAGATTTTGGCAGATCTTTTAATCCCAATGCCCTGCCCCTGTGCCATACCTTTAATATCTCTACTACCCAAGTCTCTGACTCTCTCTCTTACACACCCCTATTGATTCTGCCGCTACAGGCTTTCTGGAGTAGAATACTCCACATTTTCACAATCCTCTGTGTGAAAATTGCATCCTGGGCTCAAGATTTGCCTAGATAATCTTTTCTACCCTATATATCGGGATAAAATACTATTGAACTGGAGCAATCATAATAATAATCCTTGCATGTGATATAGCGCCTTATCATGTCTTCGAGACGTCTCAAAGCACTTCACAGAATTTACCGTAAAGTCAATTGACTATATATTTTGTGGGCGAAACATGTCATATTAATCAAGACCGCATCAGTTATAATGAATGGCCAAACCCAAAGTGTAAACTTCCTCACTCTCTCTCTCTCTGCAAGTTGAACTGTCGTAGATTTTCAGTCCTGGTATTTCCTCTGTTATCGTATATACAAAAGAGAAGAGAATAGAGGGGTGGGGGAAGGTAATAAATAAACTCCATCACTGGTTAGCTGGACCAAGTGACCTAGTTCAGTTCTGTACAGTCTGTGTGATCCTATTTAATTCTATGACACTTTAAAAAACTTGCTGTGATAGTTGGTTTCACAGGGTTTATCTGACAATTTGAACATGTTTAACTTCATTTTATTTGCCCACAAAATACAGTCAATTCACTTTACGTATATTCAGTGAAGCGCTTTGAGACGTCTCGAACACATGATAGGCGCTGTATCAAATGCAAGGATTATTATTATTCAGTTTATTTTTGCATCCTGTGTGGCAAGTGGTGCTACTGAAGTTACGTTTTCCAGGCCCAAAAGAACAATAGGATGTCAACGGGGGACATTTTGCTTTGCTTGGAATTAGGCTTATATCTGTACTATAATTTTGAAGCTTGTAGCTGGGTTTCTGTGGCCACCAGTTGAACAATAATTGGCCAAACCACGTAGATCACATCAGACATAGAAGCAGTCAGCAGATTTTATCCATCCTTCCTCAATAACCTATCATCTATCTCAGTGGATTACAATGGACATGTAACTGGTTGACCGGAAGAACCCAGAGGATGATGGTATAGGGAATGTCATCAGACTGGGAAAATGTTACACAAGGGTCTGTTTTTGGACCTCTTTTATTTAATTTTTTATGAATGATCTGGAACTAGGAGTCGCGAGCACAGTGACTGAGTTTTCAGATGACACTAAGCCAAGCTGAACAAGACAGGTTACAGGAGGATTTGAACATACTTGAGAATTGGGAAGATTGGAATTCAATAAGGAGAAATATAAAGTACTTCACAAGGGGACAAAAAATCCTGGAAGGGGTTATTATTTGAATGTAAGGAAAATAATAGGTATGGAAAATTAAAAAGGACCGGGGGCCCCTGAATGACAATAATTTGAATCTCTCCCAACAATGCTCTGTGGCAGTGAGTAAAGCAAACCAGATGTTGGGATGTATCAAAAGATCAATAGCAGCCGGAATAGTGGGGTAATCCTGCCACTGTATAAATCATGGGTGAGACCACACTTAGACTGTGTACAGTTCTGGTCGCTGCAATACAAAAAGGATATTGGAGAAATCGAGGATATGCAGAGGAGGGCGATCAGAATGATGGAGGGAATGGAGGGAATGTACTGTGAGGAGCGACCAGTAAATTGGGCGCATTGACGCTGGAAAAGAGAAGATTGAGAGGTGACATGATTACTGTCTTCATTAAAATTCTAAAGGGGCAAAACAATATAGATCATGACAGGCTGTTTCAACTTGTCCAGGACAGTAAAACCAGAGGACGACCTGCAATTGAACAGGGGGTAAACTCAGAACAAATCTACACAAACACTATTTCAGTGAGCGAATAGTGAACCTGTGGAACAGGCTCCTGAGGGAGATGGTTGAAATAGGAAATGTTGATTCTTTCAAACACAGTTTAGATAGTTTTAGGAAATAACATTATGGGGAGTTTGGGACATATGTGTATGGAGCCAGCAGGAAGGTGGAAAGTGAACTAGATGGACTATGGTCTTTTCTTGTCTAGCATTTCTTATGTTCCTATGTTCTTATCTCCCTTTCAAGCATAACACGGCAGTGATAGGATTGTGCATGGCTGTTTGCACTGTTAATCATGCATAACATTGGCCATTATATTATCTCGGAAACTCATTCAGAGCTGAGGAGTAAACGAGATTGCAATACTGAGCCCAAAGTTGTTATTTATTTAGAATGTAAATTCTGGATGTTTTTTGGCCACAGGGCTTGAGTCTATCATTGACCTTCCTCATCATGGTTAATGAAAAACTTTGTTTCTTGGCAAGTTAGGTTTGGAGAATGTATCAAAGCCCGAGAAAGAGTTGTTGCTAGTGTAACGGACCGAACAGATAGGTGATCTACATTGAATGGCAGAAAATACCTGCTTGAGATGAGGGTTTTTTCGCATTCCTTAACATTTAGTTTTTCGTCAGCCAGGTGTCTGACACATGCGGAAACCCATCACCAGGTTTAGGTACCCGAGATACCGATAAGAATCCAAAGCAAGCTGAGATTTCCATGTATCCCACCTACACATTGGAGTCATGTAGCTCAGTGGTTAGAACACTCGCCTCACAAGTGAGAGACCTGGGTTTGATTCCCATCAGGGCGAAATGTTGGGCAAGTTTCCTTACTTCACACACCTCTGTTTAGCCATAAGTAGGAACCTGGTTGTTAGTCGATTGGCAGATCGCTTTTCCAGGGGTAAAATTCCTTAAAAAAATAATAATTTGGTCACTCAATCCACGATTGTTTGTGGGACACTGCTGTGTGCAATTGGCTGCCGCGTTTTGCCTATAAAGTATGCAGTCAGTTCAATTTACAGTATATTCTGTGAAGTGCTTTGAGACGTGTCGAAGACATGATAAGACGCTATATCAACTGCAAGGATTATTATTATTATTACACATGGAAATCCCAGAGGTAGATTGTTGGACTGGAATGCACTCTCTCTCCCTCTCCCTAGAGGGTCGCACCCTGCTTACCTAATTCCAGAAACTATTAGGCGCGGGTTGGCAAGAACAAGGCTTGGGGATTCTAGAGTGTGTGTTGGGGTAACCAGCTAAAACCGTATAACTTGCCATTGGTATCACTGCCTGACAAGCTTTCCCACTGCTTGTCCAGCTAGGACCATTCTACCTGTTGGAGCTTTGGCTGCAGGGTTAATAGGAGCTGAGTGGGATGACTCCCTGCCCCCAGTGACAGCTCAGCATGAAATGAGTGAGACATTGCCACCATCTTCCTGTCCGCAGCTCAGGCACACGTCCCTTCCTATTGAGTGATGGTTCCACCAGTTGGAGGTGTGGAGTTTAAGCAGCAGCTGCTGGTCTCTCTGCAACCAATCACAGTGGATTCCAGGCGCTGGACGTATGAACGTATGTTACAAACTCGGACTCCAGGTAACACCCTCCAGCAGCTGCTTCCCCAAGCCTCAGAGTTTCCTTATCAGCTATCTGGCAGGCGTCTGCCTTCAGGGTGATGGGAGAACCTATATAGGACAGCATGTGAAGTGCAAACCACCTTGATGTTCTCGAGGTCCAAGTCCAATGCCATGTACCAGACTCACTCAGCACCAGCTGCTCAATCCAGGTCCTCATGTAAAGGGCATTGGCAAATAGACGTGCCTGATGTGAAGCAATCTCCACCTCCAAGTGCTCAGTGACAGGTCAGTGTCAGATAGGCCAGAGCCCTCCCAGAGCTCAGATGCATAAAGGAGGATTGGTTAATCAAAGGCCTTGTCTACCACAAGCCTGACCTGCATTGGCACCTTGCTGGGCTTGAAGAGGGATTGCCATTTGCCCCTTCTCAGCGCTGTCCGTCAGGACAGTGTCCAGACTCACGTTGGTATCCGCCACGACCCTGAGGTACCAATAAGAGTCAACAGTTGGGACTGAAGCCCCTCGTATCTTCCCATTAACACCCTCAATGTTTTCTTTTGGGCCATTAGAATCAGGATTCCCCACTTGGGGATGACTATCACCATGTCCCACTGGTTGGCCTAGTGTTCAAGATGGTGGAGGCAGCCCAGGTGAGTTCGCCAGCAACACCATATCAGAAGCCATAATCCTGTCAGAGCGGAACAGGTACATCAAGTCCTTCTCCCTCGATGCCATCCAACACGTCATTGATGAGCACATCGAACAGAGTGGGTGACAATGGGCAGCCTTGCCTTACCCCCCTTTCCAGAGGGATGAGCCACTGTTGACCCTTACACAGACTTTACACACCTCCTCAAAATGTTCCCTCGAGGCCCCAAGGAGCCCCTCGTGTGTCTGTTGTAGACACCAGACTTGTCTAATACTGGCACTAACCCGGCGAGGCCCCTCTAGCCTTGGCCAACACTCTTCAGCCAGGGTGTGAAAGATTTGGGATTGTCCTTGTGCAGTCGCACATCTTTCAGAGTGACTCAGCCATTGATCTGCTTCATTTCTTGGTAGAAGTTGCCTTTGCTCAGTTCTCGCTTCTTCCGAGGAAGCTTCCAGAACCGCTTTAAAAGCCTCTGCTTTCACCTAATAGCTCTCCTTCCCTTTGCCATTTCCCTGACCAGGTCCCACTTCCGAGATGATGATCGAGAGATCAGATCTGAGCTGCTCCCAACCACTGACGACTATCGAACATTGTGTAGCGTCTAAACCTACAGTCGCAGAAGGAGATCGTTCAACCTGTTGCATTTCATCTCCAGCCACAGACAAGAACCAGTGACAAACACCCTCCCTGGGTCTCTGAAACATATTGCTTCTGAGAGAAATTCATTAATTGTTTCCAGCTCTTCTTGTCTGCCACGTAACCACCCTCCCCCCTCTCTCTCTCTGAGAACCACTTGGTCTCTCTCCCTGCCCCAGCTGTTGGAGACGCATTGAGACATCCTCCCGATGTGAAAGCTGCTATATATGAATGTAAATTGGATTGTGTAGCTCAGGGGGATGCAGTGATTTCTTCAGCTTTATGTGGATTCCTATAGCTCAGTGATTAGAGCCCTCGCTTTGCAAGTGAGAGACCTGGGTTCGATTCCCGGCAGGGTGAAATCTTGGGTAAGTTTCCTTACTCCACACGCCTGACAATAATCCCTCAAGAGAAAAAAACAGAATAATTAATTGGTCATTTTCAATCCACGACTGTTTGTGACACGCTGCTGTGCGCAATTGGCTGCCACATTTCATCCACAAATATGCAGTCAATTCACTTTACAGTCTATTCTGTGAAGTGCTTTGAGAAGTCTAGCTATATCAAATGCAAGGATTATTATTATTATTATCTTTCTTTTTTTTGTTTTGTTTCCAGTCGGTAAAACATGGTCAAAAGTATAAATCACTTGTTGTCAGTCCATCCCACAAAGGAATGTGTCCCAAACACTCCCATTCACAATGAACTCTGTGAGGAAATGCCAAAAAAAAATTTCTTTGAAATCCAAAGGCTACAGATTCAAAACAAGGGCTGAATAATTACAAGTACAGCTGAAATTTTTGCCCGGAAGTTTTTTAGTACAATAATGCAACAATAGACACAATTGGCAGCTAATTACAGCACCTCACATCCATGAGTTAATCATTAAATAAGATAAGCAACATACCTCAAAGTCCGGGCTGAAAGTGTTGGCACTTTACAAACATTCACCCACAGCCACAGACACAGAATGGATTCAACAGCCAGAGCTACGAGGAAGCTGTTTGCTTTGGAGATACCGGATATCATCGTGATCACAGTTTACTTTGTGTTTGTTATGGTAGTAGGGTTATGGGTAAGTTCAGCGGGCCTCAGCTCACTTTTATAGCATCATAGAATATTACAGCACAGAAGGAGCCTTTCGGCTTATTGTGCCTGTGCCAGTTCTGTGGAAGAGCTACACAATCAGTCCCACTCCCCCTCTCTTACCCCATAGCCCTGGAAATTTTTCCTTTTCAAATACCTATCTAATTCCCTTTTGAAAGTTGTTATTGAATCTGTTTCACTGACCCTTTCAGGCCATGCATTCCAGACTGTAACAACTCTCTGTGTGTAAAAAAATCTGTGTAGTCTCTCTAAATAACTCAAGTGCCTCATCTCTGGTACCATTCTGGTAAATCTCCTCTGCACCTTCTCCAAGGCTTTGATATCCTTCCTAGAGTGTGTAAAAGGTACAAAACCTTCTACATACTTTAGTTCACTTTTAATTGAAAATGGAGCCATACTCACTGATGTTTATTAATGCAGTTTTGTGTCATTTGTGCCAGTCAGCACAGAGATCCCACTTGCACTTTGAGGTATTTTCCCATGTGAAAGGCGCTGTATAAATTATGATTGTTAGTATGGAATACTTGTCACTGTTCTTTGTGGCCTGGATTCAGAGACGGTTGTAAATGTTCTAATTAATAACAAAATAGGTGGCAATTTTCAATAGGTGAAAAATGATGCAATTCTGAGTATTCTGAGCCAGCCTTTTGTTTGTTTGGTTTGGTTCACTCCTGTGCTGGAGAATAGCTTTTGGAGACTGCGGGTAAACCTGTTGAGGTGGAGCATGGTTTTCTACATTCAACAACAAAAATTTAGGCCCTTCACATAGGGTAGTGTCCCGGAGCGCCTAACAGTGGTGGAGTCTGACCCCGAGCCAGGACGAGAGGGAGGGGGGAGATGACCATAAGCACGATCAAAAAGGAAGGTCTTAGGTGGGATTTGAAGGTGGAGAAGGAGGGGGCAAGGCAGAGGGATTGATGGAGAGAGTTCCAGAGTTTTGGGGCGCAGTGGCTGGAAGCACGGAGGGGATGAAGGACAAACAGGAGGCCGCAGACAGCCGGAGGCAATGGGTGGTGGAGTGGAGGGATAAGCAAATTGGAGAGGTAAAGGGATTTGAAAATGAGTGGGAGCCAGTGGAGCCTGACAAGGGCTGGAGTGATGAGGGTACGCAGTTTTGTGCAAGTGAGTATCCGGGTGGCAGAGTTCTGAATTAATTCAATTTTGAGTATGGTGGAGCTGGGGAGACCAGCGAGGAGGGCGTTGGAATAGTACAGCCAGGAAGTGCGTGGACAAGGGTTTTGACCGTGTTGGTTGTGAGGTACAGGCTCAAAACTAAGGATTAGCTATCCACTTGCCATTTTGGGGATCTTAAAACGTACATTTTTCTTTCCTTGTTCCACCTTCAATTCTCTTCCCCCTTGTCCCAAAGATGCTGACTCTGCTGTGTAGATGGTGAGCGAGATTACCAGGCCAATCTGCGGTACCTCGCCTAACCCAGCCTCTGAGAGTCTGAGTCCGCACATTAAATATGGTCAGACTGTTTGATCATAGAATCATAGAATTATACAGTGCAGAAGGAGGCCATTCGGCCCATCGTGTCTGTGCCAGCTCTCTGAAAAGAGCTTCCAAATCAATCCCACTCCCCCGCTCTACCCCATAGCCCTGCAAACTTGTCCTCCCCAAATAATTATCTACTTCTCTCTTAAAAGTTGTTACTGAATCAGTTTCCACCAGCCTTTCAGGCAATGCATTCCAGATCCCAACAACTCATAAAGTTGTTCATAAAGACCATCACAATTGCGACTAAAACCTTTCCAGTAGGAATAGTGGTCAGTAGTGAGAACCTGACAGTTTTTCCCCCTTTCCTACACTGGGGGCAATTGAGGGGAGTATTGGCACCCTCACTGATACCCCACTGATAAACACGTTGATCAAACATTGCATGAAATTCAAACATTCTTAGTGATACAGAGACATTGAAACCCACTGCAAAGTTAATCGCAACTTGCACTCTTTTGCAGTGCATTTGGTGTCACACTAGAGGAAATGCCTGCCACCCCTGGCAGTCCACAGCAACAATGCTCCGCTGATGTGTAATTGACACTGCGATAATTTAATAGTAATGCTTTGTTTCAGTGTAAAGATGCGGGAGTTAAAAATTTACAGAAACTGACATTCCAGGTCTCAAGGGACCTTTAGGTATCTTAAAAGGTAATGATTTTTTTTATCAAGGCACTTAAATTTTCAACTAATAAGAATACCCACCCACCACCCCACCAGACACACACACACATATACCCTGCTTAGGAGTATCCAAACCAGCCAGAGTTCCATATATGTATGTGTGTATCGCCACTTACACCCACTTGTAGTAAATCTTTTAAAATGAAATAAAAGTGAGGCTCTGAGGAATTTTGTCTGCTTAAGCACTAATCAACGGGCTTTAATTTTCACAACAAAATATCAAGATCTGTTTGAAAGTGAGATTGCGTTTAGATTAAGTTTGATAGAAACGTTATGAGCAGCGCATAAATATGGACAGAATAATGGTGAGATTGCAAACTATTCCTGGTTTGTGATGGCCAAACCTTGATGTTCCAATGAGCTGCCAATGTCAAGCTTATTTAACACCAGCTGTAGCTGTAGCTTCGCTTGCAACCAAAGAATCCAATGTGGAATGTAGATTGTCACACAGATGGATATTTTATCTTTAGCTATACTCATCTGGGAGGACTCCTGTGGGAGGACCCCTTTTGTGAGGACTCAGTGGGAGGACCCCTTTTGGGAGGGCTCCTGTGGGAGGACCCCTTTTGTGAGGACTCAGTGTGAGGACCCCTTTTGGGAGGGCTCCTGTGGGAGGACATTGCGGTTTAAAAATGTTATTGTTGCCGTGGCTTAGCTTTGTCTGTGTTCTTTGTTTTGTTCCCTCCGCTTGGCTACGTGCAAGCTTTGTGACGCAGGATGCCAGGTTAGGGTTCGGACGCCACAGCGCCACGGTCAGCCGGCGTGGCCACCAGGTGTAACTGCAGGTGCAGGTGCTCTGTGTCGCACGATGCCGCAGCGCCACATTAACTCGGTGACCACCAGGTGTAACTGCAACAAAAAAGACAAAACTGAAAATAACTCATGAACAATAGGAGATACCTGAAAACAAAGATGCCCATGTCACTCCCAGTTGCAAACCTTTTCCAATGAGGTATTAATCATATCTCTACGTCAATTGGTTATTGAGATCCTTCTTGAAGCGCAGACAGACATTGTTGTTTTATTAGTATATATAAAAGATAATGAGAACAGAAGTCGCTGGGAACATGCAGCAGGTCAGGCAGCATCTATGGAGAGAGGAAATGATCAAAGGTCATTGATCTGAAACGTTAATTCACTTTCCTCTCTCCATAGATGCTGCCTGACCTGCTGTGTGTGCTCAGTGACTTTTGTTTTTATTTCAGATTTTGAGCATCTGCAGTATTTTGCCTCAAATTTATTTATAGCTTGTTTTGAGTGTACTTTGAGTAAGAGAAGATATATTTAATCTTTTTCTTCCTTAGTCCTCTGCACGAGCCAACCGTGGTACAGTGGGAGGCTATTTTCTTGCTGGAAGAGTCATGACCTGGTGGCCTGTAAGTCTACATCTTTGTTATCTGGGTGTTTTATTTGACTGATCAGCACATTAATCAAGCAATGTGGATGTTAAAAGATCTTGTGGTGCTATCTGCAAAGTGAAGGGAGTTTCTCCTGGTGTCTTGGCCAACAATCCCTCTAGAATAAAATTGAGCATTCAATTCAGGACTGTTTGTGAGACATTGCCAATAACAAAATGATGCAAACTAGTTGCAATAATGCAAATTGGTTGCAATGTTTGCCAATAAAATGCAAACCCGCTATAATTTACAGTATATACCATGATGTGCCCTTCCAATGTGAAAGGAGCTACACCAATTTTTTTTCATAAATATAAGAAAGATGAATAAATTGATATCATTTGCAAAAATCATCTTTTATTACCTGTTTAACATCAGATATAATAAAATAACTAAAACTTGCATTTCAAATGGAGTATCATCACATCTTCGAGATGTCTCAAAGCACTTCACAGGATATACTGTAAAGTGAATTGTCTGAATATTTTTTGTGGGCAAAATGTGACATCGGATGTCTGTAAAAGTAGAACCTTTGCTGTTCAATTTGCAAGATGTTCAGATCGTGAACAAACCCACATAGAAAAGTTTTTTATATATATAAAAAGATAATTTAACTTTTAGAAAAAGGTTTACGGGAAAAAATACAACTTGTCAACTGAGACTGTGTCTTTTATTCTGGCTATTCGCAGATCGGAGCGTCGCTGATGTCCAGTAACGTGGGCAGCGGGCTGTTTATTGGCCTGGCAGGGACAGGAGCAGCTGGAGGAATTGCTGTGGGAGGTTTCGAATGGAATGTGCGTTTGGCCACTAACAGGTTTAATCTAAAGAAAAGGCAAAATACTGTAGATCCTGGACATCTGAAATCGTAGAATTGTAGAATCATGGAATTATACAGCACAGAAAGAGGCCATTCGGCCCATCGTGTCTATGCTGCCTCTTTGAAAGAGCTGTCCAAATTAATCCCACTCCCCCGCTCTCTCCCGATAACCTTGCAAATTTGCCTTTTCCAAATTATTATCCATCCTCCCCAAATATCTATCCAATAAATAAAAGCAGATGTGGCTGGGAACACCCAGCAGGTCAGGCAGCATCTATGCAGAGAGGAAAGTGAGTTAACATTTCAGATCGATGACCAAAGATTGCTGAGAACACACAGCAAGACCAAAGGTCAAATACCTTAACCCAGTTCTCTGTGGCGGGCATTGTGTTATGGCAAGAGCGTTTATAGTGGGTATTCTTCAGAGATTCATTAAAAACTAGAGCTGCTGTAATATGGAGCAAGTTAGAGCACTTGCTTTGCAACCTGGGTTCGATTCCCAGCAGGGTGAAACCTTGGTCAAAAATTCCTTACTCCACACACCTAATAATAATCTCTCAAGAAAAAAAACAATAATAAATTGGTCACTTCAATCCCCGACTGTTCGTGGGACGCTGCTGTGTGCAATTGGCTGCCGCGTACCCAGTCAATTCACTTTACAGTCTATTCTGTGAAGCACTTTGAGACGTCTCAAAGACATGGAAAGGGCTATATCAAATGCAAGGATTATTATTGTTATTATTATTATAATAATATACACATAGTTTTGGCTGTCCTCTGATATTGCACCTCATCATTTTACACCTACCAGTGGAGTCACGACTTGCACATACACAGTGGCTTTCACATAGGATGACGCCTCGATGTCTTTGTCATGGACTTTCATGTCAGACAGATCACCACACAAACATTGAAACAATGAAATGAATACTAGGGAAAATTTGCAGGTAGTTTTATATTGGAGTATTTTACCAAACAAATGGAGAGATAAATCAGTTCCCCAGGAATGCTAGATTGCTGTGAGCTGTGAAGGGCGGCATGTGTGTAACCATTATGTAACAGCACAGATAGTAAAGGCCAGAGTGACAAAGGATGTTTCTGACTGCCAATATCTGCCTGAACTTTGTGTCACAGTTTGAGGGAAATAAAAGGAATTTGTGCAGGAGATAAGATTGTGAATTCCTACAGATGAGTCACTGACTTCAGGTGTGTGGGCGAAGCCAGGGTGTGAATTACCTTGTGCATCTTGTGTTTGTGGGAAGCACAGTGCTTTCCGTGTCTTTAATCACTTGGAAAAGCTACAAGGTGCAAAGTAAGTGGCCAACCCTTATCCGAGCATTCATCACTTCAAGGCTCGACTATGGAAACTCCCTCCTTGTCGGCCTCCCTAATTTTTCCCTCCACAAGCTGCAGATCATCCAGAACTCTGCAGCTCGGGTCCTCTCCCGCACCAGGCTCCGTGACCCCATTACCTCCACTTCTTGTCCTCACTTTTAAGGCCCTCTACGGCCTTGCCCCTCCTAACTCTCTGACCTGCTGATCCCCTATCAACCTGTCCGCTCCCTCCGCTCAGCAGGCTCTGGCCTGCTCCAATTTAGGAGTTCTGTAGCTCAGTGGTTAGAGCACTCGCCTTGCAAGCGAGACACCTGGGTTCGATTCCCGACAGGGCGAAACCTTGGGCAAGTTTCCTTACTCTACACACCTAATAATAAACCCTTCAAAATAAAACAATAATAAAATTGGTCATTTTCAATTCACGACTGTTTGTGGGGACATTGCTGTGCGCAATTGGCTGCCGCGTTCGTCCACAAATATACAGTCAATTCACTTTACATCATATTCTGTGAAGCGCTTTGAGACGTCGAGAAGACGTGAAAAGCGTTATTTCAAATGCAAGGATTATTATTATTATTCATTATTATGGTTCCCGCCTGAACCCCCCTACCATTGGTGGCCGGACTTTCAGCCTCTCTGCCCCCATCCTTTGAAACTCCTTCCCACAATCCCTTCCCCTTGCTCCCTCTCTTGCCTCCTTGAAGGTATGACTCAAGACCCTCCTTTTCAACCATGCCTTCAGCCACCCCCCCTCTGCCCTCCCTCATCCCAACCCTTCCCCCCCTCCACCACTCTTGGGTCCTGATCCCCGACTGTTCAGCACCTTGGGGTGTCCTCCAGTGTGAAAGGCACTTTACAAATGTGATTTTGTTGTTGTTGTTGTTGAATCATGAGTCACCTGCTTAACTCTCCTCTCCCCCTGCCCCTACCCCCCCATTTTAGTGAATATTTTGCCCCGCTGGTGAACCCATCTCTTTACTCATTGTTCCAGGCTACCTGGGCACTGCTGGCACTTGGCTGGATATTTGTGCCAGTCTACATTGCGGCAGGAGTGGTCACTATGCCCGAGTACTTGAAGAAACGGTTTGGAGGCCAGAGAATCAGAACCTACATGTCTGTGCTGTCCCTCATTCTCTACATCTTCACCAAGATATCGGTAAGAAGAGCCAAAGGAGGGGTGCAAAAATTATTTCTGTGTGATGCCCAAGAGTCAGCCTGACTCAATTGGTAGGAGTTAGTCCTACCTTCAAGTCACAGGATTACAGGTTCATGTTCCACACTAGGACTTGTGCACTCAAGCGCAGTACTTGAGGGAGTATTGCGATGATGAAGGTCAAGTCCAGTAGTTCAAGTGGACCTTAAAGATCCATGGGCACTTTGTTCTAGAGTAGAAGAAGTTCTTGGTCTTGGTCAATATGTCTCCCTCATCCACATTTCCTGCTCATTCATCTCCTTCACATAATGTCTACAGTACTAGTCATTGCATTTCAAAAACTCAATGTTTTGAGATACATTAACCTGACAATGGGTTGTACAAAGGTACAATTTATTTTTTAAAAAGTTGTCTCCTATAACACCGGAGCCACCTGGCAGGTGGTGCTACAGTTTGTCAGTGGCCAATTGTGAAGTCAGGAACAGCTGCTGAATGGAGCCGTGCCTCAATGTTCTGCAACATGCAAAAGTATTGTGTGGGACACTAGCGGTGAAAGCTCCCACACTGACTACTTCTACTGTCTCTGGATAACCTTCCTATACTACAAACTCCACCACCGACGTGCAGCGTTCAAACCCATGGAGTTCACAGAACTGGGGGAGTTCTGCTGTACCCATTGATCCAGTAAACATTCTCCAGTTCTTCCTCATGCCAGCACCAAGCAGCAGGGTCAGATTGCCCTACATGTGATTGATTTGCTGTTTTAAGTGCGGAGCAAGTCTAGAGTGAATAATCTCCACATAGAGTCCAGGCCTTTACAGCACAGGAGCAGTGATGGCTTGTTCTTTCTATGCAAAGTTCTCAATATAAATGGCAGGGTGTATGACTCATGAATAGTAGAACTTTGGCAATAGAGGGGTTGGGTTAATAATAATAATAATAATTCTTCCATTTGATATAGCGCTTTTCACTTCTTCTAGACGTCCCAAAGCGCTTCACAGTATATACTGTAAAGTGAATTGACTGTATATTTGTGGGCGAACGCGGCAGCCAATTGCACACAGCAATGTCCCACAAACAGTCGTGGATTGAAAATGACCAATTTATTATTGTTTTGTTTTTTTGGAGGGATTATTATTAGGCTCTGTGTGGAGTAAGGAAACTTGCCCAAGGTTTCGCCCTCTGCCTGGAATTGAACTCAGGTCTCTCACTTGCAAAGCGAGTGCTCTAACCACTGAGCTACAGGACTCCACATGTGTGATGATTGTGATGATTGTGATTATGAAGATGATGATGATGTAATGTATTCCTGTTTTCAGACTGATATTTTCTCGGGAGCACTTTTTATCCAGGTCTCACTGGGTTGGAACCTTTACCTGTCTACAGTAATCCTGCTGATCATCACGGCAATCTACACAATAGCTGGTAATTATTAGCACCACATGGCTCGGTGGTATCGGGCACAAGTGCATTCGTTCTGCCTATAACCACAATTGCCCACTCCAGCAAAAACTAAAATATCATCTTCGGTAATACTGTAGTTTATTTCTCCCCCCCAAAAGAGGAATTGACTTCCATTGCAAAAGCACTAAACACACTGAGTTAGTGAATACCTGAAAAACAATCAACGACAGGTATTGTATTCTGGGAAAATGGGAGGTAAATGGGCCTGAAAGGATTGTTCTTAAAGGGAGCTGGCGTAGATACGATGGGCTGAATGGCCTCCTTCTGTGCTGCAAGTTTCTATGGTTATATGGCCTGGTGCTCCCATCTTCATTACCTTGTGCAAGGCAGGGTTGCTGTGGTTTTTTTTTGGCAATAGAGGCTCCTGACGTAACCCATCTGAGGGAACTCTGCTGAGCAGCGTAAACAGTATGGGAGCAGGGTTCTCATGGGGAGTTGTGACACAGCTGCAGCTACTGGCAATACTGGGGTATCTTAATGGACTCCCCCTTTACAAACCATTGCCTGTTGGAGCCTGATAGCAAAAATAATAATCCTTGCATCTGATATAACCCTTGATCACTTCTTTGAGACGTCTCAAAACACTGGATACCCGGTAAAGTGAATCGATTGTATATTTTGTACAACAGCAACAACAAAATTACATTTGTATAACACCAAAAGTGACACTACAATTGGCAATTCCCATTTGTGGTTCACCCAGCAAGCGTGCACCCTGTGAACACCTGAGACTATCACTGAGGACCCTCGCTTCCGTTTCATTCCACATCCAGGACCTGCTCAGCTAATTCCCAGCTCCCAAACGCTGTATCTCAGCCCTGTGTCCTGGCTATTCCCGTATATGACTGCCATCCGTGCAGGCGTACGCCTTGCGGTGTCCTGGTAACATTCCAACCTCGAGGGCGTTAGAACAAGTTCAAATAAAATCCAGGACACATTTAATTTCAGGTACAAGGCACTGCCAGGCTCTGAAAGATTTATTTTCACCCTGAATTCAAGCTAAAAGCTACAGTGCACAGGGCGAGTGAACGTTTCATCAGATTTATTAGTCTTCAGATAATTGCTTTTGAAAGTTTGTAAATTACTATTTGTTTCTGGCTTTGGCCAATGACAGGGGGCTTGACTGCAGTGATTTACACGGATGCCCTTCAGACGGTGATTATGGTGGCCGGAGCGTTTGTCCTCATGGTCATTGGTAGGTGTTCCACTGTGAACGAAGGCAGAGACGGCACCGATACACAGCAACAAAAGCTTCTGACAAGGCGCAGTGTTATGGAGATAAATGAATTCATAACTAAAGAGCACGTTCCGCTAGCTGACCCCCGGGTCTTCATGATTATCACTTGCCTTACATTGCGATTGCTCGTACCTGAACATTAACAGAGGCTCATTAGCTGCAGGCTGGGAAAGCAGAACACAAGCACTTGCACTTACTCAGCACCTTTCCTGTAAGGTAATGGCTCAAAGCACATTACAGGGATGATGTGGGAAGAGGGGGCTGAGTGTTGGGGGGCAGAGGAACCTGGGTGTTAACCCAAAGCTTGGTTGGTTTTAGCACAGTTAAAAAGCAGGGAGAGGGGCCACACAGGTGAAGGGATTTTGGGGAGATGGTTTCAGGCGCGGAACCATAAGATTGGTTCAGAGAAGCAATTTGTCCCACAAACCTGAAGTGAATTACCAGCTTTATATCTGCTGGGGGGGGAATGTTGTTGGCCAGGTCACGGGGAGAAAGTGCCTTCTCCTTTCACATAGACCGTGAGATCTTCAATGTCCAACTGTACAGACAGACAGGTATCTTGGTTTAGCATCTTGTGTGAAGGAGGGCACCTCCAAGAATCCAGCACTCCCCCCACACTGCTTTGGGGGGTCAGCCTAAACAATCAGTTCACAATCCCATCATGGGGCTTGAACCCACAACCTTTGGTCTGAGAGGCGATAGTGCGACCAACTGAGCCAGGCTGACCCACAGCATTTGATTGCTTTAAATTTCTGCTGATTTGGGGTTTGTAAATTTTGTGCAAATACAAGTTATTTTGTTAAATTTGTAGCAGCTTAAACCCCTGGCCCTTAAGGAGCAATGTGAGTATTCAAAAATGATGACAGCATCACAAAGTCAGGGGAGAGAGCGATGTGTTACCCTGAGGTTGTCACCACGACACTGCAATTGATTGAGTCGATGGTGTGGAAAATGTATGTAAATCTGTGAAATATAATCGAAGAAAGAATGTATAAATTCTCAATCGATAATGGTTTTTGCTGATTTAAATACGTCAGTTCCCCCAAGTGCTACATGTCAATATTTCCCCAGGCCTTGGGTTAAATAAAGTTGCTGCAAATTTACCAAAATAGCTTGTACCAACACAACACTCATGGAGTCCTGTAGCTCAGTGGTTAGAGAGAGAGACCTGGGTTTGATTCCCAGATAGGGCGAAACATTACTCCACATGCCTCTGATTATCTTGCAGTGAGTAGGAATCCGCTTGTTAGTCGATTGGGTAATCGCTTTTCCAGGGGTAATAATTCCTTCAAAAAAAGAAACAAATAAATAACTTGGAAACTCAATCCACACCTGTTTGTGGGATACTGCTGTGCACAATTGGCTGACACATTTCGCTCACAAAATAGACAATCAATTCACTTTACCGTATACTCTGTGAAGCTTTTTGATTTGCCTCAAAGACGTGATAAGGCGCTATTATCAAATGCAAGTTTTTTTCAACACCTCCCCAAACCAGAAATCAGCAGAAAATGAGCAGTTTTGTATTGTCCCTGTTCAGTGCATTATGCATCTGTCCTCTCAATGGCAAACTGTGCATTTTTATAATAATAAGAATAATAATCCTTGCATTTGATATAGCCCCTTTGAGACATCATTGCGACATCTCAAAACACTTCACAGAGTATATAGTAGTGAATTGACTGTATATTTTATGGGCAAACAAAATATTTGAGCTGGTTAAACTCCCAGCAGTTACCCCAAGGCACATTCTGAGGTCCCCAAGCCTTGGCTCTCACCAACTTACGCCTACCGCTCTCGGCTATTAGGTAAGTAGGGTACATCCCTCGAGTATCCCATGATTCCTTAAGTGCATCCCTCCAGCTAACCCCAAAAAAAAATTTCTTACGTTTTTTAATAAGTTTATAGCAGCACCATGTTGCAGTTAGGCTCAAAGCCCATATTAATAAAGTCACAAAAACCTGATGAGCTTCAGGGCAGGTGTGTTTGATAGGTTTTGGCGAAAGCAATCTAAACATTGATAAAATAAATGGTGTGGAAAATGTATGTTAATTTGTGAAAAGAGAATCATTCAGACTCGGGAGAGCGGGTCCGAGCTGCCATTCCACCATGTTTTCACAATTTTCTGAGTCAGCATCCTTGTGTGAAGCGAAGGGGTGTTGAAGGGGTGCTTGCTGTCCTAGTGGGGAAAGGCAACTCTCTCTATCCAAGCTCATGCCTTAACGTTAGCCACTTGAATGAGGTGCCAGTCTGGCTCAGTTGGTAGCACTCTCACCTCTGAGTGAGAAGGTTCTGGGTTCAAACCCACGTCAGGACTTTGAACTCACATAGACCAGGCTAACACTCCAATACCCAGAGCTGCATTGCCGCCCCATGGATGAGACTTTAAACCAAGGACGTACTGTGCCTGTTAATGATGCCGTGGCACTGTGTAAATAGAGAAGGGAGTTTCTCCCGCTGTTCTGGGCCAACAATCCCCCAGATTACCAAAATGCAAAATACTGCAGATCCTGGAAATCTGAACCAAAGCAGAAGTCTGTTCTCACGAAGGGTCGTGGACCCAAAACGTTGACTCACTTTCTTTTCTCCATTGATGCTGCCTGACCTGCTGAGTGTTCCCAGCCACTTCTGTGTTTTTTAATCTCGCAAATAACACTGGACATTCACTTCATGGCTGTTTGTGGATCGTTGCTGAGTGCAAATTAACTGCCACATTTTTGTCCACAATTATTACTTGTTATCAAAAGGGAAAAAAGGAGTTGATGTCTTCAGTAAAGGAAGAGAGGAGCAAGAAAGGCTGTGTGGGAAAATGTGTTTGTTTTTTAAATTGCCTCTCTCCAATCCTCTTGGATCCACCTAAAGTAACTGAGAGAAAAGGAAGCAGGAAAGGTTCCCATTCAGGAGAGGTAATGCCTTTCATATGAAACATGTTGTGAACTGAACATTGTGCCTTTCATGTGAAACATATAGGAACTGAAAGCAACAGCCTTTCACTGTCATTAATAATGAGAATCCTGACATTCAACATTCCGCCTTTCACACCAGAGGATGTCTCAAAGCGTTTCACAGTATTTCTCTTTGATCGCAGGTTTCATCCAGGTTGGCTGGTACAAGGGTCTGGAGGAGAAGTACTTCCAGGCCATCGCCAACGTCACCGTGGCCAACACATCGTGTCACATCCCGCGTGCAGATGCCTTCCACATGTTCCGCCACCCAGTGACGGGCGACATTCCCTGGCCAGGCCTGGTGTTTGGCCTCTCGGTGCTGGCCACGTGGTGCTGGTGCACTGATCAGGTAAACCACCAACACCAGGACAGTTCCTGTCACTTGTGGCCAATCGTCAGCACGTGACTCACCCTCCCACAAACCATTGATATCTCCCATTGATCAACTGACCGCATTGGGGGAGGTTTTCAACAATGTGATGATTAATGCATCACAAACAGAACTTTTTCATACACGCACAAACACACCACAAGACATTGTCAAGACGGAGGTAGATAAATATTTGTTAGGTCCTATGGAGTCCTGTAGCTCAGTGGTTAGAGCACTCACTTTGCAAGTGAGAGACCTGAGTTCAATTCCAGGCAGATGGCGAAACCTCGGGCAAGTTTCCTTATTCCACACACCTGATAATAATCCCTCCAAAACCAAAAACAATAATAAATTGGTCATTTTCAATCTACGTCTGTTTGTGGGACATTGCTGTGCGCAATTGGCTGCCGCGTTCGCCCACAAATATACAGTCAATTCACTTTACAGTATATTCTGTGAAGCGCTTTGAGACGTCCTCCCGACGTGAAAAGCGCTATATCAAATGCAAGGATTATTATTATTATTATAGGTCAGGGTGTTAAGGGATACAGGGTAAGGGCGGGTAATTGTACTTGAAGTTCAGATCAGCCATGATCTTATAGAATCGCGGAACAGGTTAGAGTGGCTGAATGGCCTCCTCCTGTTTCTATGTTTCTGTGCTTCAAGCAATGTGGACTGACTGTGATATGCATGGAACCGATTGTATATTTTTCAATAAAAAAAATCTGAGCCTGAGAGCGGAAAGCAATTTTACCTTCAAAAAGGAGACATTACACCATTTGGAAGGAAAACAACTATTATCTGTTTTTCAATCGTGGGAAATGGGAACATGGAGTATGTACTTTAATAATCCCTGCATTGTTTTTCCTGTCCTGAGAAAATGTTATGATTTGGCATTGCCACCTCATTCTTAAACCCTGTTACCCCAGTGACTGCCAGTGTTACCCCAGTGACTGCCAATGTTACCCCAGTGACTGCCAATGTTACCCCAGTGACTGCCAGTGTTACCCCAGTGACTGCCAGTGTTACCCCAGTGACTGCCAGTGTTACCCCAGTGACTGCCAATGTTACCCCAGTGACTGCCAATGTTACCCCAGTGACTGCCAGTGTTACCCCAGTGACTGCCAATGTTACCCCAGTGACTGCCAGTGTTACCCCAGTGACTGCCAATGTTACCCCAGTGACTGCCAGTGTTACCCCAGTGACTGCCAATGTTACCCCAGTGACTGCCAGTGTTACCCCAGTGACTGCCAATGTTACCCCAGTGACTGCCAGTGTTACCCCCAGTGACTGCCAATGTTACCCCAGTGACTGCCAGTGTTACTGCCAATGTTACCCCAGTGACTGCCAGTGTTACCCCCGTGACTGCCAATGTTACCCCCGTGACTGCCAGTGTTACCCCAGTGACTGCCAATGTTACCCCAGTGACTGCCAGTGTTACCCCCGTGACTGCCAATGTTACCCCAGTGACTGCCAGTGTTACCCCCGTGACTGCCAGCGTTGTTGGAAATTTAGCTTTTTCCATTATCTGCAAACTTAGATCCGAAAAAAAAATGATGCTGCACTTTTTGTTGCTTTGGTTCAGTGCAATGCTTCACATGGTCACAGAAACTCTTTAACCCATCTCAAGACTTTCCTCTTTGATTGTGCTTCTGAACAGGTGATTGTGCAAAGGTCACTTTCAGCTAAGAATCTGTCTCATGCCAAGGGCGGCTCCGTGCTGGGAGGCTATCTGAAGATGCTGCCAATGTTCTTCATTGTGATGCCAGGCATGATCAGCCGGGCGCTGTATCCAGGTGGGTGCACAACGGATGTCAATATTTTTTGAGTGGATCAGTTTTAATAACATTAATATATAGCGTCCCATTAGTCTTCAAGACGTCCCAAAATGCTTCACAGGATATACTGTAACGTGTAGTGACTGTATGTTTTGTGGGCGAAACACGGTAGCCAATTGTGCACAGCAACGTCCACAAACAGTCGTGGATTGAGTGACCAAACTATTTATTTCTTTATTTTGAAGGGATTATTACCCCCCGGAAAGCGATCCGCCAATCGACTACCAAGGGGGTTCCTATTCACTGCTAGGCAAACAGGCATTTTACCTCAAAAATGCTTGTCAGACAGTTTTGCATACTGCAACGTCCCATAAACAGCCATGAAGCGAATCACCCTTTTACTCAGTTTATTCAGAGGACGATCACTTAGCTTCACCCAGGTTAGGGCAGGATCCTGTGTTGAGACCAGAAACACTACCGATCCCATTGAGGCCAGGTTGAGAGTGACGTGTCTCAACTCAGACTGATTGCCAATGTAGCCTGGCATCCTGTTTGCCTTGTTTATTGCTGCCTCACACTGTTTAGACAGGGTGAGCGATGAGTCAATTAACACCCCTAGGTCTTGTTCAGCTTCCTCCTTGACAAGTTCGAGCCCATCCACACAAGCAGCAAAACAGCAAGAAAAGGATATTTTTACATAGTTATGGGATTGTTGCCCAAGTACTGCGATGTGAATTGCAAAAGTGCAGAAATCTCTGCAAGTGCACTGCAATATCAGTAACTATAGGGTTCAGACAAGCACATTATTTTGTCTCTTTTAAATAAATCAATAATAATCCTTACATTTGGTATTGCGCCTTATCATGCTATTTCAAAGCACTTCACAGGATATACAGCTACTACAACTTTGTAGGGAAATGCTGCAGCTAACTTACTCACAGCAGTGTCCCGCAAATAACCATGAAATGAATGATTGATTTCATGTCTGAGTCAAAGCTAAAAACAGAGGTTGCTGGGGACACGCAGCAGGTCAGGCAGCATCTATGGAGAGAGGAAAGTGAGTTAACGTTTTGGGTCAATGATCTTTAGTCAGGCTGAGTGCTCCCAGCATCCTTAATCATCGACCTGAAACGTTGTGTTTATTGACAAAAGTCAGAGCATTAGCTCCTTTCACTTTGCAATTTCAATGAGATATTAAACCGAGGTCTGGTCTGTGCCTGTTTGGGGAGTGGGGCGGGGAGGGGCGTTTAAAGACCCCACAACAATATCGATAAAGGAAATAGGAGTTTCTCCTGGTGTGGTAGCCAACAGTTCCCCAGATCAAACCAGTCATTCATTTCATGGCTATTTGCAGGATACTGCTGTGAGCAAGTTGGCTGCCGCATTTGCCTACCACATCGTATTCACAGTACTTTCCTGTGAAGTGCTTTGAGATAGCATGATAAGGCGCTGCACCAAATGTAAGGATTATTATTGATTTATAAGAGTTAAAGAATGTGCTTGTCTGAACCCGTAATTACTGATATTCTCTCTGTCTCTGTTCTTCACTGGGTCTTATTATAAATGTCCTTTCCAGATGAGATTGGCTGTGTGGACCCTGATGTGTGCGAGGCGGTGTGTGGAGCCAGAGTAGGATGTTCCAACATTGCGTACCCCAAACTGGTAGTGGAGCTGATGCCTGTGGGTAAGATTGTGCACTGCTTCTGAATTTGATCAATTTGCACTGACAATAAGCCTACGATAGACACACAATCACACACAATCACAAGAGACCCCAGCATCCTCTCTTCACACAATGCTTCCTGGCCTCAGTACAGATTTCAGTGAAGAGCTCGTTCATTTGACGATAAATCTGATTTGTGCCAAAGCAGGTTTTAGCTGGTTAACCTCCAAAACGCTCCCCCCAACACAGACTCCAACCTTTGGCTCTCGGTAATCTGTGCCTATCACTCTCAGGATTTAGGTAAGCAGCGTGTGTTCCATTCCAAACATAGCTACATTTCCGTGTGGAAGTAGCAAACACACATACGTGCACCTCTCTGTCTGGTTTGGATGCTCTTAACCATGATGATGAGTTTCCAAGTGCATCAGGAATCCCGGCTGACCAAAATAAAAGCAAAGAGTAAGTTACAGTTGATCATATTTTTCTTCGTAGTGGGATTGCTTACCTGAGCTAATCTAGACCAAGGTGCCATTTACACAGTAACACAGTAATTGTGGGATATTTTGTTGTGCACAATTGGGCTGTCGTGTTCGTCTACAAATACACAGTCACTCTACTTCACAGTAAATCATGTGAAGCGCTTTCAGATGTCCTCCTGATGTGAAAGGCGCAGTATCCAAATGTAAGGATTATTATTTAACACAGTAACATTACTGCACAACAGTATCTCTGAGGGAGACATTCCATAATATGGCCAGGTTCATCTTAGGTTCTCCACCATGCAATGGAGTTAAGCTCTGTCTGGCCAATCAAGTGGCGCTTATTACAAGCTCTCCGAGACACTATCCTACATGAAATGCAAGTAGTAGTTGTTGTTCTTGGCAAGTGCTCTGAACAGGTATGTTAATGCAGGAAGCATTCTAGTGCTAGCCTGAAATTTTCCTTTGACCTTGAATAAGTTTCTTCAACATAATTATGTGACTCTTTGCCTACACGCCCCCTCCTCTCCCTCCCCTGGTATTTTTTTGGCATTCAGCTTGTTAAACTGTTTCACTGACGTCCTGGGGTAAAAACTAATGAATTCCACAGGATGTCAGTCTTCCAATGTAGTTTTGATAGTCTACTAGGTGGCATAACAGCGGGCTGCACCCGGAGACAGCTGTAATAAAGCCAGATGTCTTGTGATATTGACCTTGGCGGTTGCTGGGAGCACAGCGAGGCAAGATACTGATTTCCCAGTGCTTTAATGTTCGCTCAAAGAAACCCACAGCTCGGAAATCCACACTTAACTTCACACCTGAACCTGTGTGCGTGCGCAAGAGAGAGAAGCAGAGATCCAGGTAATAATGACTGTCTGGGAGAAGCAATCACGGACAGGGGTAGATGACACATTGAAGATTCCTCCCCCCACATGTAGGCTTTTTTAAACTAAAGTAATAATAATAATCCTTGCATTTGATGCATTTGAGACATCTCAAAGCCCTTCACAGAATAAGTATTGCTGTTTTGTGCTGGAACTGCCCTTGTGTCTGGGATGTATCTGCAGATATAACAGATCCTGTGCCTCAGTGACTGTAGCCAGATTACTGTGCAGTTAATGAAACAAAAAGCTAATTATTTTGTAAAGCTGCTATGGAGCTTTCAGCTGGAGATAATCTGGTAAATCTGAAAGTACAGTGCAAGGGATCAGTGGCTCAATAACCCAATCTGCTCCGCTCACTCTCACAATTTATTCCTTTCAACTTTTCCCCCTCTTTCCCACTTTGTTTTATTTCATTGTTATATTTTATTGGTTTGTAGTGCTCTCGCCATTGAGGCAGAAGACTGGATTCTAGGACTTTGAGCTCACATAGTCGAGGCTGGCACCACACTACTGTGGTGATGTGTAAGGGTGGGGGGCTTCATTGTGCAGTTCTTTCAGATATACTTTCAATCAGGCTCCCTACCCTGTCTGTGCCGGCCGGGTGGACATTAAAGATACCATGGAAAGAGAAGGGAGTTTCACCGGTATCCTGGCTGACAATCCCCCTAAATAAAATCAGTCACTCACTTCATGGCTGTGTGTGGGACATTGCTTGCTGTGTGCAAATTGGCTGCTGTGTTCATGAGCATTCTTCGTGTGTGACTCTAGACAGGTCGGCCAGCTGTTTGACTGTGGGTCAAGGGACATGATAGACAAGCCAGATCTTGTCCTTAACCAATGTCCATGCGTTTGTGGGGGGAGGGAAGCCTTGGCTCATTCTGCCTTTCTTAGCCTTACCTCTACACCAGCTGAGATCAGCTAACAGCACAAGCTGGGTTTGGAACGTCCAAGGTTCAGTAATGTAACAAGCCATTTGCCCCTGAACCACTGGGCCCTGTGGGAGCTGGAATTGAGTTACTAAAGGGCGCTCACCTGATACATCCACTGTAGACCTCACGTTCTCTGTTCTCTGTTCATTGACCTTATTTCTTTTGGGGGCTATGAACTGTGTTTTTTCATGTGTTTGTTCATCTGAGCAGGACTGAGGGGGCTGATGATTGCGGTGATGATGGCAGCTCTAATGAGTTCACTCACCTCCATCTTTAATAGCAGCAGCACTCTCTTCACGCTGGATATCTGGCAGCACATCCGCAGAGAGGCTTCCGAGCAGGAGCTGATGATTGTTGGCAGGTACCGTCACATTTCATTAAGACATTAACGAAAAGAGAAGAGGGAATGCAGGAGAACGGGATGGTTTCCTTTTTAAGGGAGAGGGTGATTGGCGTGTGGGACAGAGCGTCAGCTGAGGTGATGGAGCAAGAAACTGCTGAAGATTTCAAATAGGGACCAGACAAATTCTTGTCAATTTAAAGGGATTAAAAGGCTTTTAGAGACAGACACACACAGAGGAAAGATTGTGGGGAAAATGGATGAGAAGCAAATGGCTGTGGAGCAAACACTTCACTTATTACTTTGCTACAGTCAATCTCAACTCAGCCACTCTGGCAAGCTTCACAATATGAAAGGAGCAATGAGATAATGAACAGAATTGACCAGTTAGATAGTGGTCCACTGTTTCCGTTGGCAGAGGGATCCATTACAACAACGACAACAACAGATATAATAAATAATAATAATCCTTTTATTTGTAATGCTTGTAATGTCTTTGAGATGTCTCAAAGCGCTTCACAGAATATACTGTAAAGTGAATTGACTGTGAATTGACACAATTAACTGTGAAGTGAATTGTGGGTGAAGCACGGCAACCAATTGCACACACAGCGTCCCACAAACAGTCGTGGATTGAGTGACCAATTTTTTTTTGAAGGAATTATTACCAGCAGAAAAGCGATCCGCCAATTGACTAACAACCGGGTTACTACTTACTGCTAGGTTAACAGAGGCGTGTGGAATAAGGAAACTTGCCCAACATTTTGCCCTGCCAGGAATCGAGGCGAATGCTCTGAGCTACAGGACTCAAAATTGCATTTATATAGTGCCTTTCGAGTCAGGAGGACATCCAATGAGGAGGCATGGCCTTAAAAATATTATAATAATCGTTGCATTTGATATAGCGTCTTATCACAGAATATCGTCTCAAAGCACTTCACAGAATATACTGTGTATTTTGTGGGCGAAAATCAAAATCAAGAGATTTGGAAATAAAGTTCAGGAAGCATTTCTTCACTCAGACTATTGTTATAATATAAAACGCCATCAAAATGGGCGCTGGTTTGCCAAGCCCACAGCTGCCAAAATATACTACCAAGAGAATTGGTTTTAATGAATTGTGTTTTGATGGTGTTGGTCAGTGGAAAAGAACCTGTGCTCACTGTTAATTCTCCGTTAAGTCTTCACGATGTGGATAATTTGGGCCATTTATTTCACGGCGTGTGTTGTTGGCAGGGTATTCATCCTGTTCCTAGTCGGCATCAGTATAGTGTGGATTCCCATCATCCAGACGGCTAACAGTGGCCAACTCTTTGACTACATTCAATCCATCACCAGTTACTTGGCGCCACCCATCACAGCACTCTTTGTCATGGCAGTGTTCTGGAAAAGAGTCAATGAGCCGGTAAGACCAGCTACAATGAGAGCTGTTCTGATTACAGTATGTATGCGGGATGTGTGCTGGGGAGGTGGGAGGAGGGGCAGGGAGCGACTGAAGCAAATCATTTATGGGTGATGGCTTTTAAACTGTTCATTTGCAGTAAGTTTCCGTGTTGCATGAACAGTCCAGAAAATGATGCACTTCAAAGGCCGCTGATCCGTTCAATAAGAAATTGTTGGAGTTGGCAAAGACCAGGGCTGAATAAAGTCGATGTCTGTCGTCCCCCACCCCACCCATCATACCCAATACATCCCACCCATCCCACCCACCACACCCCACCCACCCCACCCACCACTCACTCACCCCACCCACCACACCCCACCCATCCCACCAACTCACTCCACCACACCCACGCCACCCACCACACCCCACCACACCCACCACCACACCACACCCACTACACCCCACGCACCACACCCACTCACCACACTCCACACATTCACACACACATACATACTCACACATACACGTGTCTTTTCTCTCAAGCTTTATTGAAATTGATCGTAAGCAGGAATTCCAGCTCAGGGTTGCCGAGGTGACTTGTGGCCGGCCTGTGCAGAGCCCAGCAACTCAGCTCAAGATCAGACTCGGGCGGCTCATATAGCTTTATTGACCGTCGCGGGAGAACGAGTAAAATGCATTATTAGTGACAGGAAGAAGAGTTCACTTCAACTGAGACACTTGTAAAATAAAATTGAGATTTTTATGAAATAAAATTTCACGTCCTCCCGCCGTGAAAGGCACTATACAAATGTAATCTTGTTGTTGTGGTTGGTTTGGACGAGATATTGAAGTTGTGTGTTTCAATGGCTCAGGGTGCGTTCTGGGGTCTGATGGTGGGTCTGGCTGTGGGACTGGTGCGAATGGTCATGGAGTTTGTGTATGGATCTCCGTCGTGCGGTGAGGAAGATAATAGACCGGCTGTGCTCAAGAACATGCACTATCTCTACTTCGCTTTGATCCTGTTCGGGGTCAGTGGGATGGTGATTGCTGCTGTCAGCCTGCTGACTCCAGCCATCGACGAGGACAATGTAAGTGACAGACACAGAGATTCTCCCCAACTGGGATCTAGTTAGTAGTTTGGATGGGGAGCAATGTTTGGCTAACTGTGTCTAAACACATACATTGTACGTAGAGGAAATTACAGATGTTACTACCTATAGAGTTATCAGACTTGACTTTTAAAGTTTTAAATTCACTTTACAGTATATCCTGTGAAGCCCTTTGATATGCCTCCATGATATGCTATATCAAATGCAAGGATTATTATCATTATTATTGATAATCACAAAATTAAGGTTACCTGTTTATACATCAGTTGGCTTAACCCATAAACTAAACCCTTTGGTACCATTCACCACAAAGCACACAGTCTACAGTAAATCCTATAAAACACTTAGAGCCATTCTCCTGACATGAAAAGTGCTGTATCATATGTAAGAATTATTATTATTTATCAGCTAACTCACTGCAGATCAGGTACATTTGAAAACCAGATACATTTATAGAAATTTGACTCTTCAGTTAGTTGTTTAAAGTTGATATATCCAAAAAAACTTTTTCAACAGGTTTTAAAAAATGTCAAACTCTTTTTAAAAGAAGTGAAGCAGTGGTGGGATTTTATTTCACACGATTCCTGAGGCTTCAGAGTGTTTCATTTATTTCATATGTCAAGTCGTGGAGCTGAGCTGGTACCCTGGCTCCGTGACTCACTGTTCTCTGTTGGAGGCTGATGTGTTTTTTTTATCAATTCGCTGCTTCATCCCTGTCATAAACACCAATTTCAGCCGTGAAAAGATTCCAGCCTTGTTTAGTATCTCTTATTTTCGCCCACCAAATATACGGTTAATTCACTTTAGGGTATGTTCTGTGAAGGGGCGTCTCAAAGACATGATAAGGCGCTGTTTCAAATGCCAGGATTATTATTTTATGCCTGCATGAATTATCAACACACGTCATTCTCCCTGTCACCTGACCTAAACGGGTCACATTTTACTCTTGGATATTTCACACATAATTAAATTTCCAGTGACACAGGGATCCACAGGGAGCCATCAATCAACTTGCGGATTGACATTCCGGCAGGTTGACAGGGAATGATGGAATTTCCTTACTGGACAGCAGACCCCAATGGAGTAAAAAGCTGTGGATTAAAGGGTTTGTTTAGAGCCATGTTGTTCAGAGAGCGAATATGACTGTCCTTTTTAACCTTGTTAATCACAGCTGATTCGATTGACTTGGTGGAGCCGACACAGTGAAGCTCCCAGCCTTGAGCCGGACAATCCTAAGAACCTGCCTGAACCTGCCTGGAGCGATGCGGAACTCGCTTCAGTTACACACACTGAAGGGCCACAAGGAACAGGTAGAATCCAGTGATGTTTTTGCCACAAAATATACAGTCAATTGACTTTACAGTATATCCTGTGAAGTGCGTTCAGACGTCTCAAAGATATGATAAGGCATTGTATCAAATGAAAAGATTATTATTATATGTTTCACTTCGCACAATATTTAGCAATGGGGAGGGAGAAGAAGGAAATCTGAAGGTTTCAGATAGCCAAGCCGATTTGCATTTTACATTTACATTTTACATTTAAAAGATACATACTTGAAGAAAAATATTACAGGGTATAGAGCAGAGAATGGGAATGACAGTGGAGAAGGCGGGGGATTGGCAGTAGCACCAACACAGACACAGCCAGTGGCCTCCTCCTCTGCTGTGCAGTTTCAATGATTCTGTCATTCTGAACAGATTAAAAGAAACATTTTAGCAGTAGACATGATAGGACCCTAGATCTATGAATTTATTTAGACTCTGTTTTAATAACAGTTTCAGTATAAGTTTTACACCTATTCTGTGTGGCATTCCGTACTTGAAATGTACAACTGTTGTTTTGGGCCAAGTGGCTCATAGGGCCATGGCTCCATGTTTAACCTGCTTGTGCGGCTTGTGTTTTAAGGGTTGGTGTTTCCCTGGTGGAAGAAAACCTGCTACTGGTTCTGTGGCCTGAACACACAGCCTAAACCAGAGCTAACAGAGGAGGAGGAGGCAGCCCTGCAGAGAAAACTCACCTGCATCCAGGAGAAACCCTTGTGGAGAAACGTGTGCAACATTAATGCTTTCATTCTATTGACCATTAACATCTTCTTCTGGGGATATTTTGGATAAAGGAACATAGTGAAGTTATTGTACAACAATTTAGTTTGTATCTACCAACAGCAACTTACAGTTTTACAGCAGCAATAACGTGCAATAACGCTTCATATTATTGGTAAAATGTGTGTGATTTTACGAAGCTACACATTGAAAGTGTTTTTGTTTTTTCAGTCAGTTGTCATTGAGGCCGAAGTCTGGTGTAGTGTCATTGCCATTTACAGGGGGAATGCCAGGCAAGGAGTTTGGTTCCCACTGACTTGCTTCTATTTTATCATTATTAATAAATATTAATAAATCATTTATAATAACAAATACATTTGTAGGAATAATAAATCATTGCACTTGATATGGCATCTTTCATATCAGAATGACTCCTCAAAGCGTTTCCCGATAAACAGACCAACCTTGAAAGACCTTGTAAAGAGTAACAGCGGTGTGTTTTACAGGCTGATGCAGCCTATTACAATCCCACAGTTTCTGTCCCCAAATTAGGGTTTAGATTTGTGACCTCTGTGCAATAATTGTCCCCAGAGGGAGAGAGGCAAATCTGGGATGCAATTCCAGGTCGGCTGAGACAACAAGGGGGAAGGAAAACCAGAGGCAAAAGCACTGATAGAACCCATGGACACAGACAGGATACTCACTCTCCATCATTGTCTGAGAATAAAGAAATATTTAATTCCACTCCCTCCCCCACCCCTCCCAAAAAGGGAATTTATTCAGAATAGTTAACACTCCCATGTAACATTTCAACTATATATAGAGCCTTGGTCAGACCCCACCTGGAGACTTGTTGTTTTGGGTACTGCACCTCAGGGAGCATATATTGGCTCTGGAGGGGGTGCAGTACAGACTCAACAGAATGATACCAGGGCTTAAAGGGTTAAATTATGAGGCGTAAACTTGGTCTGTATTCCCTTGAGTTCAGGGGGTTGAGGGATGATCTGATTGAGGTGTTTAAAGTAATAAAGGGATTTGATAGGGTAGCTACAGAGAAACTATTTCCCCTGGTGGGGAATCCAGAACAAGGGGCATCATCTTAAAATTAGAGCCGGGCCAATTAGGAGTGAAATCAGAGGCAGCAGGTCAGGCAACATCTTTGGAGAGACGAAAGTGAGGGTTAGGGTTAGGGTGAGATACGTTTCATCGAGTTAAAAGTCATCGACCTGAAACGTTAGGTCACTTTCCCCTCTCCATAGATGTTGCCTAACCTGTTGCATGTTTCCAGCCACTTCTGTTCATATCTCAGATTTGCAGCATCTGCAATATTTTGCTTTTTTTTTATGTGAAATCACCTTGTGGGTTATGGGTTCAGGCCTCATTTCAGGACTTTGATCTCACAATCCAGTGCCGCGGGGAAGTGCTACACCCCAACATGGCAGTGCCATCCTTGTGGATCAGACGTCAAACAAAGGTCCTATTAGGCTGTTCATTTGCACAACACCTTTCATGTCAGGAGGACATCCCAAGGCGTTGGACAGTCAGACCAGCTATTGGTTGGGATCAGCAGGTGTGGATGGTGGGGAGAGTAACCAAAGGCACGATTGAAGAGGAGGGTCTTGAGACACGTCTTGAAGAAGACAAGGGAGGGGAGAGGTGGAGAGACTGTGGGATAGAGTTCCAGAGGGTGGGGGTAGGGAGGCTGAAGGCCCAACCCCGGTGGTTCAGGTGTTCAGATGCATTCTGTATCTGAAAAGAGAAGGGAGTTTCTTGCATTGACTTAGCCATTATTCCATCAAATAAAATAATATATATATAATTAACTTAATGGCAGTTTTTTGGATGTTGCAGTGTGCAAATTGGCTGCCGTGTTTGTCTACAAAGTGCATCCTTTACAGAAAATCCTGCGAAGCTCTTGAGATGTTTTGATGAGGTAAGGGGCTATATCAAATCAGAGTATTATTATAGTACATTGCAATGGCATTTGTCTCAAGAACTTTATCGCAGTTCCTTCCCACCCCAATCCAGCAAATAACACAATGTGATGGTGACAATCTTTGACTTTAACCCCGTAGGACTTTAAAGTGTTTCATCAGAAAATGTTTTTTCTTATATAAGGTCCAGAGAATTGCCTTTGTATTTTATGATTTCTGAGATATTGCCCAGGGTTTCATAAGACCTTTTCTATACAGAATGTGAGGTGCAGATCTTGCTCTATTCTCTGTCTGAATGCAACTTATCAAGTTTAACACAAACAACAACTTGTATTTATATAGCACCATCGCCTCACACATACAGTATTCCTTCTGCCCACATAACCTGATAAATATCTCAACACCAGCAAACAAACAACTGTTTGTGGGACGCTGCTGTGCGCAATTGGCGTTTCACCCACAAAATACATAGACAATTTACTTTACAGTATGTTCTGTGAAGCTCTTTGAGACGTATCAATGACGTGATAAGGCTCTATATCAAATGCAACGATTATTATTAGTCACGCAGGATGGTGTCTCACAGCGCTGAGTTCAAAACAAATTGTATGTGGGTTGTATAGGGCTGGGGGGGCTGGAGGGGGTGGTGTATAAATCAACTGGAAAGTAAAACATTATTTTTATTGCTTAAGACTCAGAGCAGTAAATATGTTAAGATGTTTGTGTTTCATTTCATCAATACAGTCAGTAATAGGTATTGATTATTTTAGTTCTGTTTTGGTAAGGAATTGGTTGTTCATTTTAATCTTTATGTCTGATGAATCACCTGAATAGTGTCTTCTCCACAGTGCAACGACAATATCTTATTCAAAGCGTGCAAACATGCTTTAGAATTTTTTTTAGCTAAATAAATATTTTAAATACATCAGGTATTGAGTATTTCACAAATCTCTTTACTTTTCTGTGTCCTGCGATGTTCAGTGACCTTGTCAGGTATTTAGAATAAATGTACAACTTATTTATTTACTGCAGAGGTTAAAAGATAACTTTAACCTTCGTGCAAACCATCGCCTACTCAGTTCCTGTTAGTCATGCAAACCAAATCCCTAATGGATTGTGGGACACTGAAGTGCACAATTGGCTGCTGCGTTTTGCCTATACGTACAGTGAAGCGCTTTAAGACGTCTCGAAGACAAGATAAGGCGCTGGGTCAAATGCAAGAATTATTATTATTAAGGATAGGCCAGTCAAAGCTGGAGAAGCAGTGAGAAGCTTGCCAGACAGTGACGAGCTGTGCAGGTTTAGCTGCTGAAACTCTAGTAATTACCCCACGCTCTGGGGTCCTCAAGCCTTGGCTCTCACCAACCTGCGCCTAATACTCTCCAGAGTAAGAAGGTAAGAAGGACTCACCCCACCCTCCCCTCCCCCCAGAGAGAGTGAGAGATTATGCGGCATGTGTGGCATTCTGTTGGTTTGGAGGCTCTTAAGCACCGTGACGGGTTTACGCATGTGTCAGACATCTGGCTCTCCAAAACAAAATGCTTCCAGAAATCCTTCATAAGAAGCCATTAATTCCATGCTAAATCCACGTTGATGCTGCCAACTTGAATAGCAATTACCTCTTCTTTCCCTGCACCCCTTTACATTCCTCTTCAATGTTTGTCAGTGGCTTCAACTGTTATAGTCTTTAGCTGCAACGAGAGTCAACCTACAAACTGACAAACTCGCATCGAGAGCTGTATGTGGAAATCTTTCAGTGTAAATGAAAGCTTTTCTCAAGTTTTTTGTGAGGTGTGGATGTTTGTACATCACAAAAATATGCTATAAATCAAGAAATATTCAAACGAGAACATTTATTTTGTCTTTAAATTAACACAGACTCACCGAGACTCGTGCGAATGTTCAGAGGGACATTTCTTGACGGCCTTTAGGTTGCCCACCGCTGCTGTAAAGTGTAGTGACTGTATTTTGTTGACAAATGGCAACAGGAGCACACGCCTCCCTTTCCAACGTTGCTTACCTTAAATATGAAATCCTTTGGGCTGTTTTGCAACAAACTCACTTACTTAATTGAAAGTTCAGACGTATAAGCCTTTAAGTAACCAGCCTTCCCCACAATTGATTTATTCCATCCCAATCCTAGTTGTTTACAGCTGTAATAAATAAAGCTGTCAGATCATTTTTACAGCTGGTATGGAAAGAATTTGCTTCCCACAGCCTGGCTACCGATAACATATTTCATTATCTTTGTGACACAGACAGTGATCAATAAAGTAAACTTATTACAAATAAGAATGAAATGGAGTCTGGTTAGTAATTATTTTATTGATCTCTATCTTAGATGCGCTCAATAAAATAAACGTATTGTGTTCGTATGATAAAACACAGCTGGCTAAATCCAGGAACAGGTTTGCTATGTCATTTAAATAGAATCTGGTGCATGTATATCATCACATTGATCAGCAGCACACATTCCTTTCATCAGCACAAATTCCCATCCCCAGCATTTGCTGAGTCAATGGTTCATTGAGTTTGAGGATCACTGGAGGCCGGAGCCTCCCATTGGCAAAGTGTTTGTGCATCACAATGTTTAAATCCTAGCTATTTTTATAGAATCACAGAATCTTGCAGCACCGAAGGAGACAAATTCTGCCTGTGCCAGCTCTTTGAAAGAGTTAGCCAACTAATCCCACCAATCATCTTAAATCTGTGTCCTCCGGTTACCGACCCACCTGCCAGAGGATGCTGGCCTGTGTGAGGGGTGTGATATAAATGTTAGTTGTGGTTGTTTCTGCTTACTGACTATCAAAATCCCTCAGAATTTTGAACACCTCTATTAAATCTCCCCTCAACCTCCTCTGCTCTAAGGGGAACAATCCCAGCCTCTCTCGGTCTCTCATATGACTGAAGTATTACAAATAGTTGCACTGAATAATGTAATTTGCAAATCAGTCAGAACTGAAGGTAAGCAATGCTCATGAGGCTGCATGGTTTTCAATAGTTACAACACTGACTTGTCTGAATACCTTCATTTCACTATAATGACCCACAAATGTACTTTTTCAAAAATTAATTGCTGCATTGATTTGAACTTGGACATAATTCCTGCTTCAATCATTAAAATTTTCAGGACTGAGGTGGAGATGTTTGTTAGGTCAGGATATCAAGGGACACAAGGGAAAGGCGGGTGATTGGAGTTGAGATGCAGATCAGTTTAGCACTTCTGCAGTAATTGGCTACAAACCCAATGTCCCCAGCTTTGACACAACAACTTGCATTTATATAGCCACCACACCCCCCCACCCACACGCCATAGTCCCACCCATACAATAGCCCCGCCCGCCCGCCCTCATCCAGGGCAGCGTCCCAGAGCGCTTCAACATCTATCTCTGTCAGATACGTATATCTGTAGCACAGCTTA